ACTTACGCATTATTTTAAACAATTTTAACCTGAAAATAAAAACAAATGTTTTAATATCTAACAAATAGGAAATATTCAATTAAACTAAGGTCAAACCATGTTGGATAAGTGTTAAATTTCAGTCCTAGCCCGTAAGGTGATGTGAAAGGTTATCAGTCTCATCTTCACTCACTGAATTTAGATAGAAAATAAAATAAATATATAGTCAGCTTCAAAAGAGAAAGCCTGCGCCAAAGTGAACATCTTGAGCCGAACCACCCCTGCGAGGCCAACAGGGAAATTTAAGTAAAAGCCCTCCTTCTGTCGCTCTCCAAACCTGAAGGTGACAGACGCACGCTGGCCTGTTATAATGGAGCTGTACAACCAAATTGATTAGGTCAGAAGCTCCATTGCTTCCAAGATGATGTTTTCAGCAAACCGAGTTTTATTTTTAGACTTTTGCCAGAGCAGTTTCATACATTAAGAAACGGCGTTTGTCCAAAAAGAGTCAAGTTTTCGCCCCTGTAATGAAAATATTGTTGGTATTTTCCTTATTAAATCAAAAATATAGGTGCAAGCTACGAGTAGCTGTCAAAATAAGTCAAATCCAGGCACAATCCTTGCGCAACGAACAGCAAGAAATTTTGTAATTGAAAGCCCGAAAGTGTGATGAGGGGAGCGAACTAATAGGCCCGTGGCTCCGGGTGACTTCGGTCTAATAAGCCACTTAAAGTTAATGGAAGAGGAGGTCAAAATGAGAATTATTGACACCCAGTTGCCCTTAACCTGTCTACCAATAAAGCTGATTAGTTTTTGTCAATTCATCAGCTAACCGGGCTCCTGGGACGTTTATTTGCTCGGGGGAAATCAACAAGTCACCGGGTAGTTTTCAAGTAAAGGATCGCCATTTAATTGTGCACCTTGATGATCATGACCAATTACAGAATGATAACGGGGAGATTGATGTGGGTGGGATGTGGGCCTGCATGAAAACGAGGGAAAAAATAGAAAGAGAGGAGAGAGACAGAAAGTCAATCCACTGATATGCTTTTGCCAGCTTGTTTTTGTGGGGAAAACGTTGCAAATACTGCCTCGTTCATAAATTATTAGATGCAAAGGTCTCCAGTTCGTGTACTTTGACAAATAGTCCTTAATGTTACTACTGAAATTAGCTTCTTTTTTTTTTTAAACATAAATGTGTTTCTGGTCATTTTTATTTGACCCTTACTCTCAATTATGATGATATAAATGGATAATATCCAATTTGGACGCGCCATGAGAGAGGATGAGGCAGCTATTTAAAACTTATTATGATATTGTGAAGGGCTAAATAAACATCTTCACCTCTGGACGTTTAGCAGGAACGAGTCACAAAAAGGGAAGTGTTGTTTTGCAGTTCTCTCATCAATTAAACGCATTTTATCAGCCTTCTGCGTGATTATTATAACAGCCTGAGTCTTGATCGCCACACGGCCGAGCTGCGCCTTGTCCCCACCGCGGGTTTAATTTCATTAAGGGGCCCGCATGAATATTTCTATTAAAGCAGCGGTGAAATATGGAGCCATTTAGTATTGGCCTTCACCGATCACCCAGATTTATCGCTCCTTTTCATCACATCTAGGGGAGAGAAATTAATAAGGCACCCAAGATGGAACCGGACCCTAAAACCTTGGTCTTTCCTGAAAGCTGTTAATTTGCTCTGTAATTACTTTCACAATTAACTAAAATACAAATCAAAGTGACAAATCGAGATAGTTTATATATTAATTACCCTCGGTAAATGTGTTCATTATGAAAAGGCAATTTAAAGGGACCTGCGATGTCTCTTTTAATGCAATATGAATGCGCTCTGTTAAATTGGCACAAATGGCCGCTTCCATGAAATGTGTGAAACTGCTTTCAAAAACATTTGCGGGTAATAATCTTTTTTATTTTTTTCAGCATCAGGTCCAATGAGCTGCCTTATTTCGCCCAGAAGAAAAAGTGAATCTCAATGTCAATATCAGTGAGATAATTACAGTAATTTATCTGAAAGAAACATGCATCTCAAACTCGATGAAATTCGATATTGCAAATTAATTTGTCTCAGGCGTGTTATCAATACACTTTGAATGGAGAGAGTACCTGCGTCGCCTTCAACACGATAACTCTACAGTATTATATATAGGCCCAATCAGATCTTATTGATGAAACCATTTGCCTGTGGCTCATGCTCATGCTTTTAAAGCCTTTATTCGTTCAGCCAATAAAAAGCCCGATGGTATCAGTCATCTGTTTGTTGACAAAAAGTGCACTAGAGTGCACTAATAATAATGATAATAATAATAACAATAATATATGTATGCCATAAATATTACAATGTGGGTACAAAATCTGAATCAGAGTCAAAATATTAAGCAAAATACCTTCATATGAAAAAGAGCCAAAGGCCACTCAAACAAATAACCAAATATCTGTAAAATATGTACTCCATTAAAAAATACATTTATTTATTTTAAGTGTGAAAGCTCCTGGTTGACCATTGTAGTCATATTTTTTTAATCTTGCAGAAGAATTTCAAACAAATCTCACTTTTTAAGTCACTATGAAACTTGACAGGCATTATTAAAATGAATTATTTTTAATTCTAGATAATGCACAGATGGTGAAACAGTCAGCAAACACTGTTAAACACTTGTGGAACTTGTACAATCAATGCATTTACATTTTTAAAAGAACAACAAAGTTAATTTGTGTTCCTTGTTTTCAGGCTGGAGAGGTTTTTGTTTTTTGCTCAGCTGAAAACATAATTTCACGTACAATGTGTTACATATAAGGGCACAAAAGCCAGACATGTGTTGACTTTGTCAGGGAGACTTTGATTTATGGTGGTGGTGTTTTATTGGACAGTGTTTTGATTTGAATATTTAGTCCATCCCATTTAAATGCATGAGGGGTTGCCATTAAAAAATAGAAATATTAGGCTTGCTTGTAGGGCAACTGTATTAGATTCCATTTTATTACATATGAATCTAATAGTTTGTATATGTATAAAAATGGATGAAGAATGAGCATGACTTGTGCTCGAGAGGTCAGTAAGACCAATAATAAGAGAAATACTTCTCCTTCTGCTGTTAATAATCATCATCATACTTTCTACTTTCTACTAACACTTATCACCTGTAAAATGTTTTCAGAACGAACATGCTTCAAAATCAAGATAGATCAAATTAAAGACTGATCACTGAAACACAGAAATATGTCAAAGAAATGTAAAAAGCAGAAATAATTTACCATTACATCACGGATGCCTTCATATTGTAAGTTAAAAATGTCTATTACCATTTGCTCAAAACTTGACATAGTGACAAATAAACCTTATAAGGTAATAGGAACATGAAATAAGAATTTTAAATCCTAATCACAATAATGACTCAGCCATCCAGTGTTGCTCACGGAGATCCTTCCACTTTCATCTGAGACCTCCAGCTGTGTGCAGGCTGATATCCTTCCAGGGATCAAAAGTTCAGAAAGATAACAAGCTAAAATCAATGCTAAAATGATAATAGAACTAGTGAGGAAAAAGTTGAACAAGGAAGTTTGATTGCTCTACAGTTAGGCATTGCTGTAACAATCCCATCAAACATAGAGCTGTTGTAAATCTTAAAGATGGCATTGTAAAAATAACATTGGTAGAACAGTTATGCAGAGAGCCCAGTTTTTTCTTTTTTCTCTCCTGAACAGCCGGATTCCCTCTTCTGTGAGGTCCAATGAATGAGCCTTGAGGTACACCACATGTAATTAATAGTGATGGGAATCCGGTCTCTTTTTAGTGAGCCAGATCATTTGGCTCAGCTCAATAAGAGACAAGTCTTTCGGTTCCCAAATGGCTCTTTGTTTAGTAGTACCACTTCTGGCTTTTACAATTAAGCCTAATTTAGCAATACTTGATTGGTACAGTAAGTGTGCACATTTCCCAATTTAATTATACTAAACCATAGAACTTCCAGAATACCACAATTTTACATTATGTTTGATATAGAAACCTGAAATAATGTAAAAGGATCAAACACTATTACACATGTGTATTGAACATCACACACATAAAGATTAGACAGTATGTATATATGTTTTGTCAAATAAAATAACCACTCCAGTGGACCACATAAGTTAGAACAAAATAGTTTTTTGTCTCTGGCAGGCCATTGTTATTTGGTCTGTATTTGACTGGTTTAGTTATTTGTATTTAGAAAAGTATATCTGCAATAATAATCAAGAAACTGTCCCCATGGTCACCTATTAGGGATACATATTGACACTATTCCTCATACGCAACAGTTGGAACTAAAGGGGCCCTAGGGATGAATCATTATCAACATCAAGGGAATGTTAACTCCAGCTAATTATCCAGCTTCATCAACATCATCATCAAGGGAATGTAAGTGTGTTGAGTCTTCAGGGAACTTTAAGGCATTCTTGTCTTTAAGGAATACATTCAAGTATTTAAATGATGGCTGTTGCTGAGGTCAAGAAAGAACTTTCAATCTCAACTTTCACATTAATTTGGACAATAAGTCCTTGAAGTACTCAGAAAATGGAAATGAACGTGAAGAGTTCCATGTACAGCTTTGATTCTCTGCTCAAACCCAACTGGACACGACCCAACCTGCCAGGTTGCTTTACTTCTTTTTATTTAAGCATTTATTTACCATTTTCCCCTTATAATTCACTAAAAAACTGTCAACCCATTCATCTTTTATGCCTTTCACGCATACAAACTAATTTTGAGCAACAAAAGTGTATTGTGTATTATTGGGAAGAAAAATATTATACACCAACAAGCCTTTATGTGATATTGTTTACAGTGCAAATAAAACAAATCAATAAACCAATAACTCAATGTGAAGCTGCTCTTTAATCTTTAAATTTTCATGTAAACAGTACACACACACACACGTCACAGAACCTTCTCAGTGGCTCTAGGTGAGAGGCGGGTCTTAGCCGCACCGGATATTATTGACACGAATCCCGTCCAATCAGCTCCCAGATATCGCCGGAACCGGATGCAGTTAAGTTAGCTGTTCCCTGTGTTGTGTTGATTTTCTAGAGAGAGAGAGAGAGAGAAGGAAAAAGAAGACCTGACGTTTTGGAATAACCTAAACTGCCTTCCCCTGTCTTACTCCTTAATCCAAACCTCAAAGGTAAACGATTCTAATTCTCCGATGAGTGTCCGGTAATAGGAGCGATGTCAGAAAGGACAGGCGGATAGGAAGAAGAACCCCCCCCCCGTAAAGTTAGCCTGCCAGAGTTAGCTGCTCTGCTAACTAGCCGCAGTGCTAACGTCCACAAAATCATGTTACTCACAAATGTATGAATCAGCACTGGGACATGTCATCAATAAATGTTTTGTGATTTTGTGTCTCCGTTGCTGGTCGCAGTCGGACACCGTAGACGGCGGCGTGAAGCACCTGACAGCTGCTGAGTCATTAGCTAGCGAAGTTAACCGGCTAGCTAACTATTGTTGCAGCCAAACTGAAGCTGTCAGCCGGATAATTATCTCGAAGTTAACCTTCTGGCTTGTCGTTAACGAGTGGTGCACATTGGCTGTTTTATTTAGGGTTATAATCGTTTAAAAACAGCGAATACAGGAGCTTTGCTTTGGTGGTGTTAGGTATCGATTATCTTTAGTTAATTGGTTGTGAGTAAGAGCCAAGTCACGAGTAGTCAGGTCATTTTGGTTCTTGTGCTCTGTGATTGGGGATTAGAGGAGGGCTTTCACTTTCTCTTTCTCTTTCAGGAATAAGTGGCAACCTCTGAATCAGTCAATGGGAAAAATCTAACAATGTTTAGCTTTGAGGGAGATTTCAAGACAAGACCCAAGGTATCACTTGGAGGAGCAAGTAAAAAGGTACGTGTGATTTTTTTGATTTGACTGAGAAAATGTTTCAAGCGAGGAGAACTGAACCAGTGACAACATGTGCTGCTCTTAGTGAAGACACATTGTCCAATTGTCATATCATATCATAGGTTACAAACTGTCATTGTCTCATATGATTGGCATAGACGATAAAGCATGTTATTGTTCAAACTAGTACTCTAACCTTATGTCTTTTCAGGAGGAGAAAGCTTCTCTGCTGCACCGCACTCAAGAAGAAAGACGAAAAAGAGAGGTAACTATGTTTTGTTTACAGGTTGCTCTTAAAATGCAAGTCTTAAATGACTTTCTGTTTGTCTGTCTGTCTGTCAAGAAACCCTTGATGATTGAAGGTTAAAATCAAGTCGTACTACTTTGCACAATTCAAGAGAAAATAAAGAGTAAATGCCGAATAGTTTTTAGTTTTCTTGATACACGAGAATGTGTCTCCTTTGTTTCAGTCGTCACTGATGCTGTGGTTTCTAAAGTGTATTCTTTTATTACTCAGGATGAAAGGAAACGACTGAAGAATTCCATTATCATTCAGTCCTACATACGTGGGTACCAGGACTTAAAACGACAGGTAAGCCTGCAAGCACCGTACAGTCCTCTTTTTAAGATTCAATTCACCATCCATTCATTAATTTTTCTGCATCAGAAGTGTAAGCTGTAACGTTAGCTTTTGTAATAGAGTAAAAGTGGGAACAAGAGAAAATAATCTGTAGGTAGTGGCTAGTGTAAGTAACTCGCATTAGGGGACTGGCTGTCAGACACTGAGTAGTGTGATTGTAATTTGATCTAACATCTGTGAGATGTGCCCGCTTGCTAATTTTCAATGGCATTGAGTGTCAGCAGGCACACGTGAAACCCTTTAACGTACAGGTTGCTCATTAATGGTGCAGCTTGTCTCATGGTCTTGTAAGTTTTGTGATTTTTGGTAGCCTGCAGTTGCAGTCAGTGAGGATAGTGTATCTAGCTTCATAAATCTGAACTGGGCCTTTTTGTGAATGCATATCTATCAGGAAGTCTGGTGATAAACAGTTTCTTCTGGAGTGGTTTCTTTTTTTAGTTTTGCAGCATATTAATACAGTTTGTTTGAGAGTAAGCATTTGCCAAAGGTGTGGGAATAATTAATTGCCAGTCAGTGGCTTAAAAAAATGTTGGGGTTGTTTTCCACTTCATTTTTTTTGCTTCTCTGGTCTTTCAGAGGCCTAAACTCTCTGTTGTGCCTTTTTATGAGGAGTGGTAACGGTGAAGAGTACTTGAGATATCTATCAAAACACTGAAGGATTTGGGTTTCAATAGTGTGAGAGTGACAGTTTGGTAGAAAGAGATGAAGGAATCTTTTACATGTTGTCAGCAAACCAAGCTAAGTGTTTTAAGTTGGTTCATTTATTAGAGCACTGATGCTCAAAGCAGATAAGTGACAACACATCATCACAATTGATTACTCTTTTGGCTGGACAGATAACGTTGCTCATCACAGACGGAGCTTGTACTTGTTTCTGCTTATCTGTTCATTTTGCTATGTGGTAATAACACCGATTAGGACACTGTTTTCCTACCTGTACTGTAGATCTGTAGTGTTTGTGATATTATTTCTAACAAATCTGCACAAACACATGTGACCTTTGACTTTCCTCCAGTATGCTATCCAGAGGGCCAGGTTTGACGAGCGTGTCAACCAGACGGTGACAGGGGGAGCTCAGCATGCCTTGGATGGTCCAGCTCTCTGCCTCTTATCAAGACAGCTCATATTTTTCTACAGACAGAGTGTGGATGCACATAGATTGGTGAGAATTTGATGTGTCTTATGCTTCAATTATAAGTATGTTGATTGTTTCGGGCACTGTTATAACCTGAGACCTAACATACATCTTACATACTGTCTTATTTTTGTGTTCATAAAGATATGGTTGTGCCAGAACCTGGTGAAACTCAACAGTCAGTTTGTGAAGCTGTTGGTGGGCCCACAGAGACAAACATGTATGTTTCAGATCAAGAGGATCTTAGGCTTCTGCTGCAGGTACAGATAATGAGTTCATATTCTAGCTGATGGATGCATCAACACGTACGATAATACAGAAAAAAATTGCGTCCATCTCACTTGTCTCTCTTTTTGCCTCCCCAGACTCCTACAGAACTGCACGGATGACAGTTTAAATGTGGCGGTTCCCATGCGGATGCTAGATATCTTTTCTTCAGAGAAAACCTATGTTCCCGTTATTCCAGATGCTAACTATGTAGCTTCATTACTCGAGCAGATTTTGCACTATATGGTACAGAAAGGTAAGTTCTCACTGATCTTATTCCAGTGTGTACTGTAGCACACACACAAATAAACCTTTTAAGGCCTAATTGTCAAACATTAAGGGTTGTATAGAGATGGCGAATGTGTGTCAATAGTCAATGGTCTGAAGTTTGTTTGACTACTTTTATCTGTACATGGGTAGTTCCTGCTCTGACTGGCACCTGAGTATATACAGTACTGTGCACAGGTCAAGTGCATCTCATAGTGTTTACATTTTTACAAAAGGTATGACTCATTTCGGCAGCACTGTTTTTAAAATTGTTCCTACCCGTCAACACAAAGCATCTTGTTTAATGTTCAGCACTATGTCAACTGCTGTTAGATGTCTGGAAGCCTAATTAACCAGGCAAACTGGCAAGCCCTACTTTTAGAGCTAAAAATATGAATCATAGGGGAGTACTCTTCAGTTGATGTTGCAGGTTATCCTTGCTTCTCTTTGTACATTCTCAGTACAATTGAGACCTCAGCTGATGCTTTTACATTTGCTGCGTCACTGAGAAAAGCTCAAAACGCAGACTGTTGAGATCCTTACACCAATTCTACACATTTATTGCTTTTAATGTTCATGTCAAGTGTGTAATTATATTGGTAGGCGTTTTATAAAATCAGCCAGGGTCCTAAAATTGTTTTTTAATTTTAATTTCTCTTTGTATCTTCCTTACAGGATACTACAGGTCGCTGTATATTCTTGTGAATCACAGGCTCCCTTCCAGTCTGGAGTACACTGACGCTCCTTCTGTCCCTCTAGCAAGCACACTGTTGGAGCACATTCTCAAACCTCTGCACTTTACCTACTCCTCCTGCACAACAGGCGCAAGGTACAGCACGAGACTGACGTAACTGCTGCTTGGAATTGTAAAAAACATTTCATCATGTCCTTATGTTTTAATTACTTATGGAGCTGGATCTCATGACTGGTTACTGGCTGAAAGAGCCAAACTAAATCAGCAGTTTGTCAGCATTGTGTCTGATGATAAAACTGCCCCTTATAATTATAATGTAATAACCTCATCAGTGATCTTGGATTACAAGTTATATTCTGAAAAAATCTGAAGTAGACACAAACAGGAGAAGTGTCCATGAGCAACAGACCTTCCTTGTGCAGTGCTGCAGTGCTGACCTTGAGAAGTCCTAAAAGCAAATTTCCCCTATTTACAATTAATAGAGTATCACAAAGAGGTCTGGATGATAAGGATTCACGAATACACTTAGTGAGTAATTTCTGCAGACTTCTTTTTGAGTACAGAGAAAATAAAACTGGATGATAGCAGGAAAGGAACGTCATTGTCCCTAGTGAATTCTCTAAAAATCATCCATTAAACTGATCAGACAAACTGCAGCAGTTTTTTGTCCCCTCTAGTCAGTGTTGAAGCAGTAATTGCTTCAGAGACCAATTTACAACAAGCCATAAAAGCCCCCAAGACTCGCTCGCTCGCCAGAGTGCAGAATATCAGGCTGTTTGCCCTCAGTTTCAGACATTCTTAATAACAAACGACAGGGCACTTCTTTTCTTCTTTGAAGAAAAGCAAGGCGGGAGTGAGAGAAACTTGTGTACACACTGACTCTAACAGCTAATTATCTGACTTGGCCCACCAGATGTGTGTGACTGGGCCACACAAAGCAGCTCTGTTTGGAGACACAATATTGGACCACTCATGCAGCAGAAAAAGCTGTTGGTGTTAGAATAAGCCACCCTGTTAGCTAATTTCTTATGAACATACAGTGGTTTGATTATTTTTTTTAAAACATATAATGTTACCCCTTTCATGCAGTGCATTAACTTGTCTTATGTCTGTTTGTCATCTTACAGGCAGTTTGTATTCGCAGCCTTTACTGAGGAGTTTATCTCTACACCGTTCACCGAGCAGATCTTTCACTTCTTTATCCCGGCACTGTCGGACATTCGACTCTCATTCCCATTCGAGGCCTTCCTGAGCTCCCTCCAGGGCACCATCGGCTCCTCCTCGGCACCACAGAGCAAGGCACCGTGGGTGTTTTACTTCGTCCTCTCTGCAGGGGAGAACTGCTTAGGTGGGTGGCGCAGTTAAGAGCACACACACTGCACACTCCATATACTGTATATGGCTTAGCAGAACCGTAAACTCTTGGACTGATTTATAGAGATGAAGATATGATGGTGTGCACAGTAATGGTGATGGGTATTGTTTTGGCAGGCTCACTATCAGAGGAGGGTCTCCAGCTGTACCTTCGGGCTCTGCAGACGCTGTTGCCACTGCTGCCAGTGTCGGAGAGCAGCGGCAGGCCTGAAGTTACTAGCGATTCAGAGGACGACGATGACACTGGCATCCATCCACCCCCGATGCAGGTACGATACATAAACACGAGCATATGCATACACTCAAAATGGTATTGGGATTATACAAAGAACAGAGCAATATTCGTATTTTGTTGATACATTTGGTCCATAAATATGTGGTATTATGTGTACTATCTGGTCTGTACCCAATACTCATCACAGATCAGCTGTTGGCCAGAATATGCACAAACATGAAAAGAAAAAAAAGGCTCATATTAACTTAACCATTATCAACATTTGGGGAAAAAGACCTCTGGTATCAGATCGGTACTTGATATCAGCGATTATGATACCTGAGTTCAGGTATCATAAGCCTAAATGTGATATTAATAGGGAGCAATTCTGGTCTGAGGCCACTTTCTGATCTAAATGAAATAAAAAGATGTCTTCAGTTGGGCCTGCAACATGGTGCCACATTGACATTGTGCCGTTTCATCTCAATTAAATATGGCAACACTGCCGATCCAATGCATAAAAATACATAACTACAAGTAATCTCACTGATCTTTAACTCGGGCATCCTGATGGCTTAGGGGACATGACTCTGTAATCTAAATGTTCCTGGTTCGTGTTTGGTTATGAACCTACATTGCATATCATCCCCCGTCTGACTTACTCCCATCGTTTCCTGTCAGGTCTGTTTTGTCTCCTGTCAAATAAGTGACTGAAAATGAAACGAGCGGGACACACTTAATTACCTAAAATATGATTGATGGTTTGGACCATTAGAATCAATTGATGTAAATGGCAAATAAACACTATTCAATTTTCAATTCAATTCAATTCAGTTTTATTTGTATAGTGCCAATTCATAACAGAAGTTATCTCAGGACACTTTTCATATAGAGCAGGTCTAGACCGAACTCTTTAAAACATTATTTACAGAGACCCAACAGTACCACCATGAGCAAGCACTTGGCGACAAGGGCAAGGAAAAACTGCCTGTTAAAAGGCAGAAACCTAGGACAGATCCTTCGGCTCTAGGTGGGTGGTCGTCTGCCTCGACCAGTTGGGGTGAGAGAGAGACACAGACAGACAGACAGACAGACGCACAGCAGCAACAGTATTGGCAATGGCAATCTAGCAGGACCATGGCAGGAGGCTCCACCAGGATCGATACTAATAAACCACATCACATTATACTAAACAAACAATATGATTTTTCTTAATTTCTTCACGACTCTGTCACAAATACTTACTAATGTGTTGGTGTAGCATTTTTCCAGTTACCTACATTTGTTTCCTTCTGTATCAGGATGACAGCAGAATCTCTGTGCAGCTGATCACAGAGGAGTGTGTCCACAAGCTGGACACTAAGCATCAGACTAACGCCCTGCTGAACCTGGTGTGGAGGGACTCAGCCAGTGAGGAGGTTTTCACCATGATGGCATCCATTTGTCACACACTCATGGTCCAGCATCGCCTCATGGTGCCAAAAGTCAGGTACAAATACACACAAATCTGATGAGACTCATTTGTTTAGGAAGAATCTGAAAGGATTTACGATTCTTTTTAAGTCAGTATTGTTTTTTTCATTTTAAACAAGAAATCTTTATAATGTATATGGATCAAATATTGCAGAGATTCTAGGTATCCTTCTTTAATTTAAATAAAATTCTTTTTGCACTTTGCATATATTAACTTCACAATGGAGCAGGTGTTTCTGAATTCAATCATAACATGAAAGCAATTTTTCATTTTTATTGGCTATCATAACATTTTACACGTCTTGTCAGCCTTGTATTCGGAGAGCCTGTTTACACACCTACCTGATTGAGAGGAAAACTGTGTCTTTATGTGTTTTCCGCGCTGTAAGCAGTAATGTAAATAACGGTGAAGTGAGGCAGGCAGTTATCAGTGGTCCGCACCCACTGGCATTTACAACCGGCAAAGGAAGCAGGGATGTCAGGGAAGCTGTCAGTTCTGGATGAGGGCAATTACCCCTTCTCAGGTTGATTACATTAGGGCCAGGATGTCAGAGGTGGTGTGGGGGGGATTGGGGGGGTACATTGACTGACGGGAGGTGATCCAGACTGAGCTTCATGGATGGTCAACCTGCTCTAGTTAATTATTACTGAAGCCACTTGCTTCCAGTTGATTTAAACATGTGGGGATGTTGATGTATAAAGGTTCATATCACGTTTGTAACAGTATCTTACTGTGTATCTGTTTTGTTATTACCCCTAGCTTACCTAAAACCATGCATAAAAGGATAGACATACATTAGCTTCCTCAGTATTAAAAAAAACTGGACTCGTGCAGCTAGAGTCTGATGGTCAATTAGTAATTTTGCAGCATTACAAGTGATTGACCAGAATTTAGAAGAATTTCAGCGCATATCCCCCATTCCCCTTAATTTTTTACGGCTTCCTCCTTCTCTTCGCTTTTACCATAAATCCTGCCCTTCGTCTTCCATCATTATTGGATATCTGTACAAAATAATTAGCTCACTGAGAAAGATTAATCACTGCAGGAGTGGACGGGATAGCTTTACAAGAGGCTAAGGGGAGCAAATTGCATCCCGGCCTTGATTTACTGCTCTTACAGCAAAAAAAAAAGAGGCTGGCCAGTCGTCCAGCCGGCCCGGCACACTGCCTTTTTTAATAAATATGTAAAATGTCTCATGAAATTATTTTTTTCAGAGGACAACTTAAAAGCTGCTCAATGATTTGGGACCAAAATGGATTTTTGATTGGTTTGCTAATTGTACTGTGCCCTGGTTTGTTCTAGTGGGCATGGTGTTATTTCACTTTAACTGTTTGTCATTGGATATTTGGTGTAATTTCACTTTGATAGTTTGGTTTCACCCAGTGTAGCACCCTGTTGCTAACGGGGCTCGCTCTCATTAAAGTGAACGCAGATGCACTTTGGTCCTTTTATTTACTTTTGAATGGTTGCTCTGATTTTTTGTGTTGTCATGACATAATGATGTTGATCATGTTAATGTAAAAGACTGCAAAACAAATTTGGATTTAGATGGAAGTCGGCTCATTCGGTCTTTATGGTATCAAATCTGACCCGAGCACTGCTGTTATTTTTTCTGCTGAACAGAGATTCTTTCATTACCTCAAAATGAAATGATCCGGGCGTTATTCATCAAGCTGCTTTTCACACACACACATGCACACGCAACCCCTTTTGATGTCTTGACTTTGTTTATTAGTGGTTCATTCCATGATTGAAATGGGGGGTTTGGGTTCTCTCAGGCCGTAAATCAGCATGTCAGCTGGCATTTAGTGCTTTGTTTCCCATTTCAATCAAACACTTGCATCACTTGTTATGAGCCCACAGCACTACTCCTCGCTTCTCTCCTGAGCCTTGTACTCCTGACAGATGGTGTGTGCTCGGCACAAACCATTTTTCAAGCCGTCTTGAGGGTTGTCTGACGCTCTGCTCCTAATGCTCATTTCCATTTGAGAGTTTTGAATGGGTTTTGGTAGATTGAATGGGTGGAATGGGAATTTGAGCATTGACATTGAGATCAGAATATTCAGGATATATGACTCACTCTACTTTCTTCTTTCTTTTTGTCTTTTTTTTCCTCCACTGACCTTAACTCCTCTACTCTGCTGAGAATACACGATGCTGCCCTATTAAAGGCAAGCATCCTTATAGGTGTCAGCACTGTCACTCTTAAACAAGGGCCTATTATATGCAGGGGCACTTTATTTTGCCTTTTAGCTTACTTAACACATTATTGTCGCCTGTACTTACCCTCTGTGTGAAAAGCCATGCAATTTAGGAGTATACACAAACACACACATACACTTGAACAAAGAGCAGCTTCACACCTTGGTGCCACGGCCCGTTGAGTGCAGAGCGACTATAGCGAGGTATGTGGGCCCTCCTCAGCGTTATCATGTAATTCACTGTGAGTGTGGAAGCATGCTTGCGCTGCGGGGTCACAGCGAGGACCAGGCTTCCCCTCCTCCTCCGTCCTCCATTGTCTTGCTCCCCTGGCCATTAAGTTAAATGGGGCTCCAGCAGGAAGCCAAAGGGGCTGTTTATGACCCGAGCTGGGTACCCTCGCCAGCAACTAGTTTACTAATGGAAGGTGCCTCGCCTAAATAAAGCTTAATGGCTCATTTAATCTCTTTTCGGCCCTCACAGGGTATAAAAGGGGAGAGAAAGGCCAAGAAAATTCTATGAGGAAAATGTTGGTTAACAGTGTCATTTATTTTTTTCTCCCCTTTTTACTTGTGTCCTCTGGTTAACAGGGCAAAGTTAACAATCTCGATATATAGCAGACGGATTGATGGAAAGTAATTTTACTGTTCTTCACACTGATTGTGTCATCTGGTTGAAATAGCTCTCTAACTCATGTCGTCTTGTTGATGATGTATACTTTATCAGAATAAGTGTTTAAATTTAATGTGACTCTCTGCTTCTTTGTTCTCTGCAGACTTCTCTACAGTTTAGCTTTCAATGCGCGTTTCCTGAGGCATCTCTGGTACCTGATAACTTCCATGACAACAAAAATGATCACTGGGTTAGTAATTCAAAGCTCATTATTAGCTTATTATCTGGGTATGTGTGTACAATCATATATTCACATTTATTTGTTTGTGTAAATACGCTATGAATCTCATACTTGGTCTCTTCCTGTCTGTCTGTTCCCTCAGCTCCATGGTGCCGCTGCTGCAGCTGATCTCGCGAGGGTCTCCCATGTCTTTTGAGGACTCTAACCGCATCATTCCCCTCTTCTATTTATTTAGTTCTCTCTTCAGCCACTCTCTTATCTCCGTGCATGACAGCGAATTTTTTGGTCACGAAATGGAAGGTAGCAGACTTTTTCCCCTTTTTTTATTGAATGAGAAACAAGGTAATTTCCTTGTTTTGCCGCCTCAAGCTTTTCATGTTTTGTTCCCAAATGTTCTTGATCTGTGCCTTTGCTTACATCTGCTTTTTGACAAAATGAATTCATTGTTGCTTGACATCATATGTTTCTTATTGGGACACATCCCTCTAGAGCTGGTTATCCTGTGGGCATCTATCATCTCACATTACCCGCATTTGGTGGTCCTAACAAAATAATATATTGTCTGTCGTTTTCAGCAGTCACGCACCGTCTTACCGCCATGTAAATGTGAAAATCAATATCTGTAAAAGACGATGAATCCATTCTCCCTCTCAACAGGTCAGACGCAGTCCTCCATGATGCCCTTCACGTTGACAGAGCTGGTGACTCTGTCTCGCTGTCTGAGGGACGCGTGCCTGGGAATCATCAAGCTGGCCTACCCAGAGACCAAAGCAGAGCACCGTGAAGAGTACATGGCTGCCTTCCGCAGTGTGGGTGTCAAGACAAACACTGAGGTCCAGCAGCGCATCCAGGCCGAGCAGAAACGCTGGGTACAGCTCTTCAAGGTATGATATATAAAGCTACCCGCACGTTATAGCTGAATAGACATACCTTCATTTTCATATTCAGATAACTAATGTTTTGTAATCACACCTGGCATGCAGCTGAATTACTTTTTCTTCAATCAAATCTTGACATTGACAATGTCATTGACTGCAGAAATTTGAATATAATTTTCTTTAAGTATTCATTGTCTAAAATGATTGCAAATATGGTGCTTAAATAAGTGTCTATTGTTCTCTTTGCTGTGTCTCTTGCTTTCCCACTGTCTTTAAATACAGTGTGGGAAAGAAAGTGGGAGGGGTCGGGAGGCTGCACTGCCACTGCCAATGGTGTGTGCGCACATACTACACACAAAAACTGAAGTTGGAAGTTTTGAGTAGTGAAGTCAGCAGGAGCAGTGGTGAAAGACACAGATCGGGCTTATCCATTGGCACTTTTGGTCACGCTGAGTCAAACCATGCAGGGCTGATTTGCGTTTCCATTACCAGTTCAAAAACACTATGTTGTGCCAAGCTGTGCCCGAAATGGACCGCCACTGGAGTCAGACCAAAGCTTACCCTACCACCTCTAAGTCGGCTGCGGTGACATCTCGCTGACCATGGCCAACCCATGTTGACCCCCCCTTCTCCCCCTAAAACAACCATTTTCTGTTCTCAGTACTTTTGTAGGCTTGCATACTGCAGGGAGTAAGGTGGCTTTTTTTATTTGTGCTTTAGGACGTAAAATAACATTTTATTTATTTTTTATTTTAATACATATAACATACGACTCAGGCCACACCATACTGTAAATAAACACACAAATACCCCCGGGGCCACACATCACGGTCAAACCATCCCCCGACACACCACAAGATCGACATCACATCGGGCGGGAGGGAATATAGTTTTAGTTCAGTACATTTTTATTTATTTTAGTCACTGCTTTGTTCTTGTTCATTCCAGTCACTCTCTCATTCAGTTTTGAGCTCTCTCCATCACCACTGCTCTCCCTGCCCTTAAAGACACACCTTCAAGCAGATAGCCTAATGGAGATGCAAATCCCTAACGCTCTTGACTGATGCGTCTAGTCAAACCAAGTCAAACCAAGCCAGCACATGTGTATGGAAACAGAATTCACTGACCTTTTTTCCATTGCATACAATGCAAAAAATGTTCAGGATAAATATAATCCAGAATTACTGGAATATGTCAAGAGTCAAATCCTGACCTCAAAATTGAAAATATTATTAAATCTGAAAATGCATGTCCTACACCTGCAGTACAGACCATACTGGATGTGATAGCTTTTGAAGTTGTTTTTCATTTGCACATGTCTTAACCACATCTGTCGGCCAATATTGGTGTCGGATTTCATCATCGAGTAGATATGAATAGTCATTCAAAGCGGTCACGTACTGTATGAGAAGCAGTGGAAACATAAGCCTAAAATCCAAATGTTTTTTCAGTAGCTGTGTCATTTATGCGTGTTGTTCTCACGCACACTGACATATTCTTCATGAAATCTCATGATGATAATTCAAGTTTTATTCCATTCTTTTCCATTGATAGCGAAGCGCTGAAACCATGGTATGTGACACATTAACATTAGGGATTATTCTTGTGTAGCTTCTCTGTGCACTGAAGCATAGTGGCCTAATGCCTGTGTGTTAGTGGAAATCAAGCATGTATGCATGAGCAGGCAAAGACAAGGTGGAGCGCTGCCATGGAGGTCATCCATTGGTTATTTACCCAGAGGAAACGAGGCAGAAAACAGCATTAACTTCATTCTCCTGGGCTCTTTTTCTCATTCCACATCTCTCCTTTCATTTTGACTCTTCCCTTCCCTCCACTCTCTATCAAGGAAACTGTAATTAAGCGGCTGTTAGTCTTTGACAGAAGAAACACTGGAGTTCTGTGAAAGGTGGCAAATACGCGAAGAGCACGTCAGGAATTTTCATAAAAGATCTGCTCAAAGGCCTCCTGTCAGCTAAAACGACCCATTAAAGAAGTGGGGAGCAGGGGAAATGCATTTTCCAAATTGAACGGTGGGATTTACAGTCAGTTTAACGCTGCTGACCCCTAACACGCTAATGTTTGGTTCGTGTCATCAGCCGTCCCTCCCCATCTTTTATCACCTCCATTGTCGAGCTATCTATTTAATTGAAAGAAGTTAATTGAATGAAAATGATCAACTAAGCTTGTATTAATATTGCTAATGGAACTTTCTTCTTGGCCATGTTTGGAGAACGATGTCACGCTGGAGTTTGGGAAAGGCCCATTAAGGCTTGCACTTAACCCGATGGGCTAATTAAGGAATGCTTATTCATTCCCAGAGTCAGGGGGTAGGCCTGCTCCAAACCCATCGCCACGCGTCTTTTACAACATTTTGCACTTGCCATTATTGCGGACTCTGGTTGCCTCGCAGTGATTGGTCGAGATTGATTGTCGCTCTATGAAAATGACGTGCTTTAGAAAAGAACGTTTCGATTGAAATAATCTAGCCTGAGTATTATATGGAAATGGACTGGCTGTAACAGTTATTGGCAGACGTAACAGCTCCCTTAACGAATCTCCAGGCAATGATATGCATGAGGTTATATAGTGGATGTCTGACGGCGGCCAGCCATAGCAACAGCAGAGCCTATTATGTCCAGTTGAAGGTGGCAAGAACCTAAACTTTTGCTCAGTAAACGTGCTAGAAGAATTCATCTTAAGTATGGTAGACATTGTTTAGAAACGCATAAACAATTTATCATCATATCAGATTTTTTTGGTAGTTTTTAGAAGAATAAAAGGGAGTACTAAAGAAAACTGACCACTTCAGTATGTCGATTGTCACCTCAGGGGGCTCTGGGCATGTGACAAAATCACAACATTACATCAAAGGGAAATATTGTAAGTCAGGCTGGTTCTTGCAGTGCTGTGAACCAATGCTGCCGCGCCTTTAACATTCTCCATCCAATGGCTGATGTCAGCAGACCTCGTCAGTAATTAACAAGACTGGACATTGAGGGACGGCACAGGTCGTTTTTCTTTTATACTCCCCATAAATGGCGCACTAATGGCTGAATTCTCAAATTGGTTTTTTTTTTCTTTTCTCTAAGCGAAGGCACCTCATCACGTTGAACAGCCTACACACAGAAAAACCTCATTATCAGTTGTTGTGTTCATTCTGTACGTTTCGTTATCTTACAATGAAGTGGATTCTCTGATTAGAGATGTTAATGTATGGGTGTGCCTGTCTGTATGTTTGATCTACTACCCAGGTCATCACTAACTTGGTGAAGATGGTGAAAGCTCGCGACATTAGACGACCCTTCTGTCCAGCAGGTCACTGGCTCTCTGAGGAGGTCAACATCCGAGCAGATAAGGTATTTGATTGTCGCCACAGCTGTTTAGATTTTGTATTTGTTCATTGTTGGATGTGATATTATATCAGATTTTAGCCTCACTGGGAAATGAAATGTCCATGAATAAAACACCTGATAATCTGGATTTGTACTCACAAAGCTTTCTACTATGAGTTGTTCGCAGAGGTTAAAGTCAGTGAATATTCATAAAATTATGACTCTTTCCTCTTTATTTCCCCTAAAAAAATAAGTTGAAATCCTAAATAGGATTAAAGCTGAGATTAAAGAGAGGTTAACAACTGTTTAATTGAGGGAGGAGGTATTTTATGTATGTTAGACAACCACATGGCAACTTATTATGTGTGCTTCATTAGCTCCCTTTTTATTAAGTAGTAATGATAATTTTCAATCCAAAACAAAGTGGTTCGGAATAAACCCAGAACAGTACAATATAGATAATTTAAAATAATTACAAACAATATAAATTAACAAGCAAGAACAGTAAATAATACAACAGCACAAGTTAGCACCGATCCTAAAGTAACAACTGCCATGTAGCAACATTTCTGAAACATATTCGATGTAGAATCCCAAATCGGAAAATGAAAAAAAACGATTTGTTATTTTGTTATTCATTTATAAATCTAAGACAAAAAGAAAAAAAAAAAAACTAAAACGACACCTCTCTGTTGCACTGGATAGCCTAACTTTGCACCAAATACACTAAGTACTACCTGACTTAATGTATTGGATATGAGCTTGAACAGCAATAAGAGATTCTCTTTAAAAAAGTATTTTGGAAAATGTCACATTAAAAGTTTTCACTTGTGTTTAACAACACAATAAACAAGAAACATGAAGGATAATGTTGCAATGGATACACTGAGTTAAACTGTGGCAGCAACACATTGTTGTTACAAGTTTGCTGAATTCACTTTTAAAGTTTCTCTTCTTGCTGTACACCATTGAATATACCAACAACTATCATTGAAATAGTTTGATACTGAAGCGTTCCCGTCCCAGTACATGCATGTAGTGAGTTATACTTAAATCAGGTACCGCCATCACCCAAGTGTGTTTACTGCATTATCAAGTGTAATACACGAAGAAGTCAAAAACTTCCTGGTTACACAAATCGGACCCATTAAATATCAAAATCAATTTTGGTCCTCTTTGGGATTTTAAAAGGTATTTTTAATCTAGACCAATAGGCACTGGCAGGAACTTTTTCATTACCTTTTCTCTCCAGGTCACCCAGTTGTATGTCCCGTCTGCAAGACACGTGTGGAGAACACGAAGGATGGGCCGCATTGGACCACTTCAGTCAACACTTGATGGTAGTGTAATCTGGTTATTGTTTTTCATTTATCTATAAAGTAAGACCTGACTTATGAGTATGTCGGTCTTTGAGTAGACCAGTATTATTTGAAAATAAATATTTTTTTATTTTTTTGTGCAAACTATGAACATAAATATACTTGAAAAATATTTAAATCGTTTGACATTTATCCTGCAATTATCTATGGCTTCGAAAAGTCTATGAAATATTTGTGATTGGCTAGAACAACTCCAAGACTGTCATCTGAAATGCCGTACCGGTGTAGAGCACATTGCTATTCTATTGGCAATGAATACAAATTATACGTATCCTATACAGTAATGCTAGTGTCAGCTTGATACATGGCCCAGGAAATCATCCTAATTGCTGCCCAAAGTCACCTTCCCTGTGTTTGTTTCCCATATTCTGTGGAGCTGTGCATTGATATTATTTCCCATAAGTAGAGATGGGAGTCGTCTGCCTAGTTTCTATCTATAGTAGATAGAGGGAAGGAGGCTGCGAATTGAACTGTCCTTCGGTGAAAGACTAGAAAATGATTTTCCCTAAACAAGGAATCATTTACTTTGTTAGCTGGTAAATAAATGCCTCATAATATAAAGATTTCTTTCACAGCACTTTACAGGGACAGTGAAAAAACCTCAGAAAAGTCATTAACCTTTCCCATTTTAACAAAGATATATTACTACATTTTCTCTTGGTTGACTCAATTAAGCACTCAGAGGAAAATGCACTGACGCAGGCTGGGCTTCATCTGGCTCACTTTGAACCATCCCAGGTTTCTGTGAAGTATGGTGTGAAAACAAGCTGATAACTATGTGTGTATGATCTACCTAATCCCACTCAGAGGCTGTATGGGATAAATTCAATTAGCGTGAAAGTACCTGATGAACTCAGCCACATCTGGTCCATGTGTTTGTCTGGCCTTTTCTCATTTCCTTAAATGGACAGGCCCATGGCTGATAAATGAGCAACGTATTGACCACTCCGAGGCCATATTTCTCCTCAAAGATGGAAACCTGATGGGAAAATGCAGATCAGATTGACTAATTGAGCAGAATAATTGAGCTGCAGTGGGCGCAAAGCGAGGAGGGTGAAGAGCGGTTTAGCTATTGTGGCAATTTTTTTTGTGGGCCTAAACAGTCTAAACCCTGAGTTTAATACAAAATAAACATCAGCTTAATGGATAAAGCCCGGCAGCTGGATGGGCAGCTCACAGTTGGGTTAATTAAAAGGATGTAATTAAAAGGGTGTAGGATGGAAATGTCTTTAATGGCTGGCCTGTAAATGGGGGACTAGGTCTTACTTACAGAGTGCAGCAGAGAGGAAGGTAATGATACTGTTAGATGAGTGTTACACGCAGAGGACACCTGTTGTTGGAAAGTATTCCTCCAGCTAAAGTTTCCCTGAGTAAGGCTCTTAATCCCTGTCCGATTCAGTTCTGTTAACCTGTACTTGACCCTGACCTTTAAACCCCTGTGGAAGAGGAGAAAAGAATCTTCCTAGGAGGCTAAAAGGTCACTTAATTAAGATTAAGGTCCAGATGTCAAGATTTTCCTATTAAGTCAACATTATATTTATGATAGAACCATTATAAGATAGGAATGACTATGTTTTATATGTTTGCATAGTTTCCACAATCCAAATATTTATTAGACTGCTATTCTTGATGAGTTTGAGATGCTTGCAGATTTAGTTTTCACTGTTTAGGAACTTGTTTTTCTATCAGCTTTAATTAATAGCAAAAGAAAATAAGATTTTTAGGATCTCTGTGAAGACCAAATGTTTTGTCTAGAGAAATTATATCACGTATTGTAGACCTAAATACATTATGATGTTTTTCATAATTTGTGCATTAACAAATCCTCAGATAATTGTTAAAAGTTAATGTGAAATATTAAAAAAGGGTAGCATTTTGGCATATTTGGATGCGAAACACCAGGAGAGAAGACTGACCGATTGTTCAGGAAACACTCTTAACATGCTGAATTTTTGTCTGTCTTTCTGCAGTTGGTTTAGAGCCTCCGCAGCTGTCTGTGTCTGAAGAGAGACATCTGGCCATCCTCACAGAGCTCCCTTTTGTGGTTCCCTTCGAGGAGCGAGTCAAGGTACTGCGCATTGTCCCACACACAAAAAACATTGTGTGCTGTAAGGACTGAGTATTGCGCGGTTAAATGCTAAAATGCATGCTTTTATAGTTTTTACTACAGTGGTAGTACATAATGACGCTGTGTGATTCTTCCATTCTTTAAAAAAGCCTGTTGATATAATGTGATGCTTCGCACAGAGTGTGACTGAATCCTGGATAGTGTATTGATACAATCTATATAGTTTTATAAGTATTATGAAGTATTGCTGTGGGTGCTATTTATAGATTAGGGAGGCAAATGGGGTAACTGATCAGTTCTGTCAGGATTAGCTACGGGATGTTGGGCAACCATCCAACTGATGTGTACATCTTTCATTTTAGTGTAGTATTTTAATATCAGCTGCTAGAGCTTACAGATGATGTCCCTGTCGTTTTTGTTTTTCTGTCTGAATTATGCCCCAGACACTTGCCATGTTTTTACCTTTTATTTTAATCAACCATCTCTGAACTACCGATAAAGAACTACTAAAAAAAAAAAAAAAAAACTGGTCAAAGACAAGGGATGAATGATAAAAAGTAGAATCTATACTCGGAATGAAACATTTTACAACTAAAAGGATTTGTCGCTGACCCTGCCACTGGGCTTTACACCTGTCCTGTAGATCTTCCAGAGGTTAATCTATGCTGACAAACGGGACGTGCAGGGGGACGGGCCATTCCCTGATGGTATCAATGTCACCATCAGACGCAACTACATCTATGAGGATGCCTACGATAAACTCTCTCCAGAAAACGGTATGGCTCACATCACTAGACTTTAAATAAAAATACTGATTTTACATGTTCATTGTTGTGTTAAATACGTGAGACCAGCACACTGTTGTTTGGAAAATGTGCTCTAGTCGCTCTGTTATTCCCCTTGTTAATTTTCAAAATGTTGACACTGTTACTGAAACTCTCTGTTATGCTCTATAAAATCTTAATATTGAGGATCAAGCTTCCGGTTAGCATTAAAGACGAAGGTTAGCTCTCTCCCTGTGCAGAGTATTGAATTTCGGTAAAGCATAATTGTGGTTCCGATTATTATAATGGATCGCATAAAAGCAGAATCAATTATTTTAAGTCACCTCTTTTGTGTTTGAATTTGAAAGGGCACTTCGGTGAGGGCAATCTGATTAAAAAGAGTAGTAGGCGACCTGGGCTGAAGACATGATCTATATCATTTATGTGTCTATAAGTTATAGCTGCCTTGATTTATCACTGTACATTAATTATTCTGAAAGATGACCTTTTTATACAATTTGATTTGAATATTCTGCAGGTCAAGAAAGTGCTTTCTTGCAAAATATGTTCATTGAGAAAAACAACATGATACACTAGATTTCAACGATATTGGAATTACATTTTTACATTTTTCATCAATTTTCTCTATTTACAGGAACGTCAGGTCATGTGCTTGCAGGTTATCTTTTCAATTAATATTTTTCAGCTAAACCCAGCTAGTCCAAGCATTAAAGAATAAGTAATGGAGAAAAGGGTGAAACCTTGTAAGTGAATTTGTTAATACAATAGAGTTGAAAAATACAGCGGTATTGAATCAATCAATCATCAACTGGAAAACACTGATGTAGTGTTATTAAAAAATAAAATGTTCCACCGAGTTACTCACAAATTTAACCTTGATCGATTTGGAAAAAGCAATGTGAAGGTTAGAAGTCATTGTATTGGACCAGCTGTATAAAAATTCCCTCTACAAAAGATTTGAAAGCTTTCGTAACATACTTTTTGACTTCTCGTGGTGTGTATTTAAAGGCTCACTGCTCCTCCTGCCACGTGTTTCATCCTGTCTGTTAGGAATGCGTCATGTGCTTTAACTCATTGTTTTATTGTATGTTTTAGTGGTGTTTTTTGCATTTAATTGTTGGTTTATGTACAACAGTTTATGAGCTGCCGTCTGAGCCAAATCTCACTTGCAAGATAGATTCTCAAACTCAAGTGGATGTCTTGGTTAAATAAAAATAAAGTATAAAAAATGCTGTAATGCTGTTAAAACTACTTCTGTTACGTCTCACAAAAAAAAAAAAAATCACTATCCACAGTATATTCAGTCAGTTTTCTGCAAAGGTTGTGTGTTTAGCTAAAATGTTAAACAAAACTAAAATAAAATAATCCCAGTAATTGCCCAGATTTTGATATCATTATAATTTTATATATTTATATCATATGAAAAGTTGGTAAAATGAGATCAGTTGTATGATTGCATATACTGGGAAATGATGTGGCTGAGAGGGAATATGCTGGACATAAAATAAAATGGCACTGCAGTACAAGTTATATATTATAGTATCATATGTACCGTGTAGTAGGGTAGTAGTTTTTCCAGATCATCAATAAATGAAGTGTTAGAAATTAGCTGTCTGTGGATAAAGCCCATGGTTATATTTCACAGGGATTTACAGGAGATTTAGCCTCCTACTTTAAAAGGGCAGCAATAGCAGTTTGTTAAACTGTAGTTAAAAAGCTACAGAAAGATTGTGTGACAAAATGTGTGTTTTTGATTATGAGGACTGATGTGTCTTTCATTAAACACACGTTGTTTCTGACTTTTGCTAAATAATTTCATTTCAGAGATGTAGTAGCTTTAAGGTGTCAAGTGGATCTGATTTATTGTTAAAAATGAATATGAACCTGAAGTTATGTGCAAATCCTGTAAAATTTGTGGATGAATGTGGGATTAAAACCATCCCAAAGTGGGCAATGTAACCATCAGTTATTAGAAATTGAAGACAACATCAGCTTTGACTGTTGGACTCCTTTCCCCTGCTGGAAATTGCTGTAAAATGACTGAGTAATTACTGACATTTATCAGAGGAAAGACAAAGTCACAGTTTATTGTGACCATTAAGTTTATTAGACAATGTTTTCTTTATCTTGTTTTTATTTTTTTTTTGTACCTTCATAAATTCCTCCTCATGCTCTGTGTCCTTACGTTAGAACCGGACCTGAAGAAAAGGATTAGAGTCCATCTGCTGAACGCTCATGGTCTCGACGAGGCAGGCATTGACGGTGGCGGCATCTTTCGCGAGTTCCTCAATGAGCTCCTCAAGTCGGGCTTCAATCCCAACCAGGGCTTCTTCAAGACAACCAATGAGGGCCTGCTGTATCCCAACCCCGCCGCAGAGATGCTGGTTGGAGACTCCTTTACGAGGCATTACTACTTTCTCGGCAGGATCCTCGGAAAGGTGAGCCTCCTATGTAAACTCTAATAATGATGATGAATGTTAGATATTCCCATGTCTTTTTTTTAAAACCCTTAAAGTCCCTAAAAATAGGAGGAATGTCTGAAGATATGAAAGCTGTTGGTAAAATAAGTAACATTTAGTCACAGACTGCTTTGATTTGATGGTCAATACGTCAATTTCAATGGCAGTGGATCAATAGCAGTCAGTGTCAAGGCGGCACTTGCTGTATATGTAAATTTAGAGGTTATTTTTGTGTTTGTTCTAGAAACTGACAATGTTTAGAGAAATTGCCATCCTTTTGTTTTTGAAAAGATATTAGGGCTGGGGTGAGAACTTGAACCTGGCACCCGTGCAAGCTTTAGTTTTGTTAATTACCCCTGTGCATAATCTGTTGACGGCATTGTTTTTCTGTCCCCTTCCTTCCTCTGATGGCACTATTTATTAGAGCCTAATGTTTCTAAATCATCCTTAATGCATGTGGTAGTGATTGTTTATCAAGATGCCTTCCTCATGGAGGGGGGGCTGCTATCATCTTAACCCGGAGAAGAATTACCTCATGACAAGCGGTCGCCTCTCAATTAGGGCTTCCATTAGCCGATGATTCCTACCTCTTGTTTGTGTAGTGATTGCATTTGGCTGGCACTAAATCAGCGAGCCCACACAGACAGGACATAAATAAGCGTTCAAAGCATGTGGTAATAGCATTTTGATCTGTTTTACAGTCAGGAACATCCAGGTCTCTTCTCTTCTTGCTCGGCCCGAGATGGTCCGGTCCACTTATCAGAGCATCGTAACTCCTCCTCCTCCTGCTCTCCTTCTTCTTCTTCGCTATATTCTTTGCAAGTGATCAATCAGCAGCTACAAGCTCTCCGCCCCCCACTCCCTCGATATTGTGCTCTCAATAGCTAATGGTTCAGGCAATTAGGCGGGGGGAAATTAATTTGAATTTGACTTTCAATTAACCCTACCTTAAGTTCCTCTTTCTCCATAAAAATGGACGTTTGAGTGGCCATTTGAGAGGTGTATTGATATTTGTTTAGTGCCGTTATTGCCTGGATAAAAGGCAACCGTTTATATAGATTGGGATTGCATCACCGCTTGCCGCAATGTGCACAGTGCACATTGCGGCTCAAAGGACACGGGAGATTAATATTGTTAATTAATGTCCGAGGCGTGCCATTGTTGTGGAGGTGATGTATTACAGGCAGGAGTGGCTTGTCTAGGGTACTCACTGAAATGGGATTGAACATCAGAATAGAGGCCGGTCATCATCCCTCTTCCTCACTTGTCCACCCAGCTGACAAGCAGAAAGATTTAAGCCACAAATGGTGAAACGTGGAAACAGGTTTCTTTGCTTTTGTGGTTCCAGACTTCAGACGAAAATGTTACTTTAATCTTGGTGGGAGCATTTGCTGACATGGTTTTGTCAAAATCACATTTCTCATTATGTAGTAAGATCTGTAAGGAGGCCTCATTCATCTCTCATTAGTACAAAACCTCCAACCTCATCAGCAGTGGCCTCTCCACTCTGTAATGGGTGAGGAAAGTTTTCATCCTCTTCCTCCCGCCTTGCCTAGGAGAATCCTGATCAGTCTCCTCTCACTGATCTCCAGCGACTGATAGTTCCCTTTAGAGGTGTGTGAGGTTGGCGCCCCTGATTGATAGAGATGCGTTTGAAAGGCATTATAATTTTATTGATTCTTAATGTTGTAAATTAAGGAATGTATTTGGCAGCTAACAGAATGCACCTGCAATGTTGCTGGCATTTATTCCACCTGATGGTGCCGCGATCTGCTTTAATTGCGTTGCCACTGCACTCACTTATATTAAAAGGCCTGGGCCATAATAATTAATTCTTTCCAGCCCAAGTCATTTTGGCACAATTTCTGGCAATAAACACTCATAAATAAAGTAAGTGGCATTGAAAAAATAAGGCTACAGGTTTTTTCCATATACTTATTGCTGCCTCTTCCCGGCATAAGTGTTATTGATAGGTTTCAAGGGGCCACGCGGCGCATATGGTCTTAAACGAGCACCGGCCACGAGAGAAATACTAAGTGGATTATTTTGCATAAAAAATAGACAATGTTTGAAGTTGCGCAATTAACCTGTGTTTAGAAAATAGCCCTGATTTATGCGTGCGTGTGTGTTTAAGATGCATGCATTATGGAAATCCTCTGGATTTATAATCCATTTAGCTGATGCGGTCAGGGTTTTTAGCGCTATCATTTATAAAGACCTGTATATTTTAATGCCTCCAACGGGCTCTTTTTCGGACTATTCCAGTACATTAGCTTTGGGTTTTATGAGTCACCTGCCCGGCTGTGGTTCTTAATGGCATTTAAGGTCAAGGTGAGAATTGGCATTTATAAAGTTTGAGGCGGGTGAAACAGAAGCCTGTGTGTTTTTAGATAGATTGTGTTCTGTGTTTTGCTCTCACTCACTCTGATGTGACGAGATCTTATCACTTGATTCTTTGATATAAGAGTAGTAGGCAAATTTGATGTTGTGTAATGTATGTTGTAATCAGATTTTTGGATATGTACTTAGTAATATTATGCTTGCTACTTGATGCAGGCTGCAGTGCATTTAGTTATCTCGGTTATCTAATCATCATGTTTTATTCAGTGACACCCAAGCAATAAACAATCCCTGTGTTTTAATGCGCAGAGCATTTTCTCATTTGTACTGATTGACTGATGTTTGTGGGGGAATTTACAAGAAAGAACTTGTATCCTTGTCCTGCAGTCGTCCTCCACTTAACAGCCGTAACATTTTTCCGCAGGCACTCTATGAGAACATGCTGGTGGAGCTGCCCTTTGCCAGTTTCTTCCTGTCCAAACTTTTGGGAACCAGTGCAGATGTGGACATCCACCACCTGGCATCATTGGACCCGGAGATGTACCGCAACCTTCTCTTCCTAAAGAGCTATGAGGGTGACGTGGAGGAGCTGGGCCTCAACTTCACAGTGGTCAACAACGATCTGGGAGAGGCTCAGGTGACTTGGGCTTGGGTACAGGGGTGGGATGGAGTCGGATAAATGATTCACATGTTCGTTTTTTTTTTTTTTCCATCTCTATTGCTAACCTGGTCAGTAACTCTCATTCAGCCGTCTTTCCTTCCTCCTGTTTGGTTCCTCTTTGTGGCGTTAATAATTCATTTCCCTCATGATGTACCACTTTTCAGCTCTGAGAGAGATAAAGCACGTCGCCACTGTCGCCCTAAGCTGTGCTGCTGCGCAGGGAACACAGCAGCTCTGTTGACCGTTCCACCTGCCTTTCCCCCAGAAATTATCTCAGAACACGCCTGACAGAAGCACCTCGCTGCTCTTAAGCACGTCCCCTCCAAAGCTCAAGGCTGCGGAGACGAGCCGCCGCCACCACTCTGAGTCACCTGGACCCAGACCTGCACTCTACCCGGAGCCCCTGTTTGCTCAGGGCCTTAACGCGTCTTATTAGCTCTTCTCAAACAACACCTGAAATGGTTGAGTTACAATGTAGCCCTCCTGGTCACAAATAGGGCATCGCAAACACGATAGGGAAAACAATTTGTGAAAGATTAGGCACACACCCGGGAGCAGTCTGCCCTGCATTTGCCCTCGTGAGATAGCCAAAGCAAGCAAGATAAGGACAGTAATTCTCTTACATTAGCACATAATCAGAATCCACTGCGGGGGAGAAAAAAAGGCAGAAAATGATTACCTGCTGTATGCAGCATTTGGGATGGACAAAATAAGAGGAACACCTTACTTTATAATACAATCTGATTCAATATCTCTGCACTGAATACATTTGTGAAGCTTATCAATCACTTTTTGTTAAGACTGCGTCAGAGAGGTGCTGATTCATGTCTATTGTAGTTTCTGGCCGCAGTTTGTACTGTTGTTAAACAAATATCCTGCTAAGTGTCTCTCAGTCAGTTTTTATGACAGTTTTGTGTCTGACTACTGTTACTGTCATTGCTGATGCAGTGGTGCTGTTTGGCATATGTCAGAAACGTTCACCTTGTAGGAATGTACAGAAAGGTAGTTGTGGTAATGAGTATACTCGATTAAAACTTGAAACTTCATTGGAGAAAAAAAAAAGGCAATGTTTGATCAGGCGTGTGTGGTTTTCCGATTGTATAATGTAGCAATATTAGCAGCTGATGCATCAGCAATTCAGGCAATAACTATTTATCCCCCTATAAGAGGCTTAATGTGGCTTTAAAAACTCAAACAAAAATAAAAAATGGTGATGTAAGGTTTCTACCTTTTTGTATCAGGATTTATAGGAGGTGGTCAGAATAAAAGAAAGGGGACGTGAAAAGTGAATTGGATCATAACATTACTAAATCACAGTTGTAGTCGTTCTCAAAACACAAGATCACACGTGCCAATCGCAGGAAAACTGAAAACATTAGAAAAAGATGAGCATTATAATTTGTCCCCATGTAGCTGCTATGATGTCATCATAGACCCGGCTTTATGAACAGAGATGAGCACATCCTATCAAGTGCTAACTGCTCTATAGCTAATGAAAAGAGAACTTGAGGCCAAATTGTATTGGACCAGATGTTCATTGGATGTGCTATATTTAGAAACACTGAAATGCACTTAACCACACACACACTCACATTGAGCCATACCTTTAATCAGAGTGCTGTTGGAAAACATTTTAATTACCTTTCTGTGATTGAATTAAATCCACCTGGCACTTACATTGTTTGTTGGTCATCTGGCATCCAAAGCATCTCAGTATTATGCATAGTTAAGTATGCAGTATGGCTGCCTAACAGTAATATTACTCAGTTTCTGTCACAACTAAGACATTTGAAACATTGTAAAAAATACTGGAGCTAAAACTGTAGAAAACTTAAATGCATTGTGCCTTTTTGACCCAGGTGGTTGAGCTGAAGCTCGGAGGCAAAGACATTCCCGTGACCACAGCCAACCGGATAGCCTACATCCATTTGGTGGCTGACTACAGACTGAACAAGCAGATCAGGCCTCACTGCCTGGCCTTCAGACAGGGCCTGGCCAATGTGGTCAACCTGGAGTGGCTGCGCATGTTTGACCAGCAGGAGATCCAGGTACACTGCACATGACAAGTAAAACTGTCAGTCCTGCAGAATATTTATAACTCACAGACACTTAAAATGTGTGTTTTTCTACCTTTTTAATAGGTGCTGATATCTGGGGCTCATGTGCCAATTTGTCTTGATGACCTGAAGAAGTTCACAAACTACTCAGGTAGGAGTTGAAACACCTCAACCACACCTCCAGTATAACATAGGCTTTATAACACAGACCTTTCACATATATAGATAAGTAGTACTCCAAATGACTTTAATGTGTACATTTGGTGGAATATCCCTTTTTATATAATTCAGGATTTTAATAACGGTGTATATATACATATTTTAATGATTAACAAATACACAATAGCACAACTGGGGAGAAGTGAAAGTCAATTCATAGACTAATGTGATGATGTATTGAGGGTAATTTATGTATGCCTGTAAGTTAGATAATACAATTTTCTCCATCTTCATCTCCTTTAGGCGGGTACTCGGCCACTCACCCAGTCATCCAGATCTTTTGGGAGGTGGTTGAAGGCTTCACAGACGAGGAAAAGCGCAAGCTGCTGAAGTTTGTCACCAGCTGCTCCAGGCCTCCACTGCTGGGCTTCAAGGTGGGTGGGGGGTTTACCAGACTTTAACTTTCTTTCCTTCTCCCTACACTTACTCTGCAGACTGTATTCTCCCCGTATCCTTTATTATTGGCAGGTGTTCCAAGCTCAACAGAAGGGTGTGTTCCCTCTTAATGGGCTTCTAATGAAAATTCCTAGACTGATAACAGCCCTCAAAATGATCATTTTCAAATTAGGCGGCGATAAGACCGGGCCAGCGTGGTGAAGTCTTATCACCACGTCTGCTCTGCTGTTGTTTTATAGTTCATGACCTTCCTCTGTTGAAGAACTCCCTCTGCAGCCTTATGTATGTGTGGGCTTGGTCGGAGATCCTGGCTGGACAAATATTGCCATTCAGAACTTGGTAGCCGGTTGAACTTTTGAACGTTTGCCTTCTGTGTGACATGGCACAAAGCAGTAATTTCCAGTTAAATGAACATACAAGGAAACTATGTCCCACTTGCTTCTAAACATTGTTTCAGCAGTGCTGAATCATTATTGCGAACCTATTTTTAAAATGATTTCCTAATTGGAAGCCGTTTCACTTTCTTACTGACTTGATTTGTGGTTTGGGGGGGGAAGCAAGTGTTGCTGGAGGCCATTAAAGAGTTTTTATGTCTTACTTCATCTAACCAGCAGCTGTAATCATCATATGATAGGTTTTAGTACTCTTTACGGCTGTCATTAGTTAAGAAAACCTTATTGCAGTTCTGCAGTTGAGTGAGGGGACAAAACTCCTTAAATTCCTTCGCAGTACCTCCTCTTGAGGTTTAAGAGTTGCCTTCCCTCATCATTTAATCAATTTGACTTTGGCCAGTGGGTGGATGCCCCCTCCTTCTCCTCTTTCGTCTCCTCTCCGGGCCGGAAAGGGCGATAATTCGTGGGGGGAGCGGCCCCTGACCCGGCCCTCAGCCTGAGCCAGCTAAGCCTTAATTAGCTGTCGTGAAACGGCCCAGGATTCATTAGAGGAGAAATAGCTCTGTCAGGAGAAGCCATTTAAAAAAGATGATGGAAACTCTCTTTTTTTCCAAAATGATAGCCGTGGTAATGGCACTTTCTCAATAAGCAACGATAGTTTAATACGGTAATTGTCAGAAAAATGGGGTCATTACGGCTAAGCCCCCGAAGAGCCATTTAATCGGGCGAGTATGGCCACTGGACCATATACACTAACTTTAAATAGCAGGATGAAATCAAGGCGGAGGAGCTTATTCGTCGGCCCGGCTTGTGATGGAAACGGTCAGTGTCACAGTCTGCAGATGAGGTGGCCTCATCACAAGGCTTGATTTAAAAAAATGCCAGATAGACAACATGAAATGACCATTCCTCCTGTGCCTCATCCAAGGGTCAAACTGCGGGCCAGTTTCCCACTCAGTACCTTTCAACCACTAACCTGATTTCCTAAATTTATACTTCTACTGTATTAGCTTAACGCTTAATGTCTCTCTTTTAACATTTATCCCCTTGTGGAATTTGACATTTATTGCTTAATCGGGATTACTTTGGACATTGCGATCATCAACACGACTTGATTCACGTCTCGTTTTTTTTTTTTTTTTGTCTTGTCTCTAAATGCCACACTACGTTCCAATATCTCTGCAAACTGCAGCTAACTTTCGAGGCGCCTATTAACAGTTTATGTATGCACACAGGAGCTTTACCCGGTCTTCTGCATCCACAACGGGGGCACCGACCTGGAGCGCCTGCCCACTGCCAGCACCTGCATGAACCTGCTCAAGCTCCCGGAGTTCTGCGACCAGAACCTGATGAGGAACAAGCTGTTGTACGCCATCGAGTCCTCTGCCGGGTTCGAGCTGAGCTGAAGCGGGCGAAAGGCTTCTCTGTCCCTGCATCGATGGACTCGACGCCACAGAACTGGCTTGGAAGCTAAAGACTTGAGACAAAAGAGAAAAAAAAAAGAGAGAGGATGGAAAGCAAATGATGCACTGACCTGTCTGATTTACTGTGTTTGTGTGTGTATGAGTGTGTGCGTGCCAAGCCGTGGGTGAGGAAATAATCACCCACAGACTGAGGGAAAAGGGGTGCAAGGATGAAGCGGGGTAGGAAGCCTCTTTTTTTAAAATCCTTGTTTCTTTTAAGTAATTTAAATGTTGAATCAATTGTCAGTATACTTCAGAGGAGAACAGCGCTACAGTTGAATTTTGCAGGAAATATCATGCAAGAGTAAATAACAGAGTGGCAGCTGCTCTCTTGTGTAATCTAACATGAAACGACAGTTATTTTTCACCAAAGATTAAGTGGCATCATACAAAAATAAAAAAAAAAGGCAATATAACTGACAGACAGACCGGACAGAGACAGACTGTAGGACTCTAAAGCCACTTTGTGGTGTGCCAAGGGCTGCAGAGGTGGAGGAGCTTTTCTGTATAGCCATCGTCTATTTTCACGTCGAGGTCATCAGAACTCCAGTTTTTTTGATTTCTCCAATGATTATTATTACTGGTAATAACCGTCATGTCCGATATCCATACCGTAAGTGTGCACACGCCATCTGAAGTGTGTATATGGCTTATATTGCTGGAATAGATTTGGAGGGAAGTATTATATAATTATGGATTTGTGAATATGTATATGTTTACAACTACTCTTCTATTATTCATTTCTTCAGTATGTGTACAGGTTTGTTTTTTCTTTCCCTTTGTGTGATCAATGGAGGCCTCATGTTATTCACACATGCTCACTAGAGAGAACCATCTCTTCCCTGGTCAGCGCCCTGAAGTTTGCTTTCAGGGGAGCAACAACCGTTCCGTTGATAAGGCTTACAAATGATGAGTATACCAACAGGGTAAGAAAAAAAATACCATATGGAAATGAATAAAACCCACTTTTCTTTTTTGCATTTTCCTTCCATAAGTCTCTTTTCTTGTTGCTTATAATTTACAGTAATGACCGAGACATAAAACAGTGCTTTGTGGGAAAATCTCCTCCTGAGTTTTATGGCCTCTGACATATAATTAAAGAAACATCCAGTTAAGAAACACTGAGCAGAACTATTCTGGCCTTGAGATGCATTATCGGGCTGGGCACAAATTAAGATTGTGTGCGTTTGTCATAAATCTACCTGCCCTCCGTTGCAGTACAGCCCAGGAAGATATCCATCCCTCGTTGGACCGAGTCCATCTCTCCACCCTCTCCTCCGTGCTGAAACAGCCAACTTGCTGCCCCCTCTCCTCCTCTCAGAGCCCGAACCCTGCACATCCGCTGGGCCAGGGAACTCAAAGTGATAATTGGGTCTTAAAAACCAGACTTGTCATTGAAATGAGGGATTCATCTCAATTACTCTGAGATTTATTTAAGACTATTACCTTGTGATGGATTATAACTGACAAAGTTAATGCAGGATGTTATGAATCATCCTCAGTGCGTAATATACTTTAGCTTGCACATAGGCCTTTTAAGGGCTAATTGAAGCTTTTAGGCTTGTTTATCTTGCTGCAGAGCAAGGAAACATCAAAAATCACTTCAGTGTGATTGTGGATTGCAGCCTACTTTGCACAAGATTACTCCAAAAGTGCCATCAACATGTCTGGAAAGAGAGCATTAAATGATGACAGCCCAACATGGCGGCATATCTGACAAGTTAATCATACCTGATTCAGCCTTCAATGAACAAGTAAAAGAATCATGAGACAGAATCAGGTATTTTAATCAAAGAGAAAATGTCTTGTGCGCCTCTCAGGTTATGTTTAGTTATAACAGAGTGCCATCTGGTGGTTAAGCAGTGGTACTGCATGGACAACCTTTTGTACATTTATAGGCCTTTATCTTGTACATCTGTGGGATAATTCACATAAAATCAGCCTTCTTCTGTCAGATCAAGCTTCTAATAAATGAAACAAAGTGAACTACAGCTTATTGTGCTGGTTACCCCCTAAAACATAAAAAAAAACCCACATAATTATATCACATTGGCTTTTTGGTTGCAGCAGAAAAGACACAAAACTCAGATGGACTACCTGGTTTTATGAATATGGATACAAGCTCAAAGAGCTTTCAGGCACAGTGTAGTTAATAATTTGCCAATAGCAAAGCATTAGGACAGTATTATGTGTGACAGTGCAGCATTATGGGTGTACTTTCTGCCTGTCCAGACATGAACAGGGAGTAGGCCAACCTTATTTCTGGGTTTCAGAAGTCTGCATATGAGCAGCAGTTTAGTCCACATTATTTAAACTACAGTTTACACTCAATAATTAGAATTGTCTATCTTTGAAACCTTCCACAATTGTGAATTTATGAAGTAAATTGCAGCCTACAGTCATAACAATCAAAGAAAAGCATATAAAACGCTATGTGAATACGCTTAGAGAAAGCTATCGACTGTATAATAAAAATTACCTGCGCATGATATCTATTGCTGTGATTTCCCCCTGCTCAATGAGTCTAATTAGATAGTGACTGCCCATAATGTCCAGTGTAATTAATAGCCATCTGTCATTTTCATTGGGTCTTCCTTAACTGGCAAGAGCTCCGGCCGGCTTTAACTGCACGAACGACCTTCATTTTCCATTTAAAATCAATGCAAGTCTGTAATTTCAGGCTCAGTGCAGTTCAAAACTGCAATAACCTGCGCTGCTTCATTCTGTTTCTCTGGGTTACCATGAGTTCAGCCTACTGATTTTCTTTCTTTCCTCTGTTTATTTTATTTTTTTACACAGATCTTCTGTGTCCTGCCCAATTTATTGAGCTGTGAGCCAGAAAAATATGGAAGCGCATTCCTGCCAAGAGAGTCAACATTGTGATCAAGTGGGCTATTTCAGAATTTGGGCTTTTTAAAAACCAATTGGCAAGGCTTCTCATGTGCTCATCTAACATATTAATTTATGTAGCACTTACTGTAGCAATAACTGATAACAAAGTGTGGTCAAAAGCCCAATAAGACAAATAAAATAAAAACAATGCAAACAATAAAATAAGTGAAAATTGAAATCAAATAGCAAGAGAATTAAGAATGAATATATTTATAAGTTGACTTACTTAAACCCTTCACGTTAGTTTCTTTACCTTCTTACTATCTTCACTTAAGTCACAATTATGAGATTAACAGCTTTTTTTTTTACATTTTGTCTATTAATAACTTATTTTTTAATTTAGGTCTCTAGGTCCAGGGTCCTGATGTTGTATATGCAGGCTCACTGGGAAGAGACATTATTAATGTTATGTTACATGTGCTTTTCCTATTATAATGTGTCTAATATCACTCTGCAGAAAGGTCTATTAGGCATTAAGTAAAACACATAATTGTGACTCACTATTTCTTCTCCTTTTCTTTGTCTTTGATTGGCAGGGATAGTCTTCCATTAAAGTATTTTGCAGCCACAGCTGATAATTACAGCAGATCATAGGTCGCCTGTTTCCCACAGTACACGACAGATGGCGCAGAAAGCCGTTTGTCTAGTTTTGGCTCTTGCACGTTGTTTGACGGAAGCTCCGATGATTCAACACAATTGCTTGACTTTTTTTCGCTCATGTCTCACTTTATGCACACTGCACATGTGTACCGTGAAGACTGTGCTTTGTTCGCTGGGTTTGTTGAGTGCCATTACGGATGTGTGAGCAGGAGGTCAGTGAAACAGCGCTGCTGTCGACACTCAAAGACATGGTGCTTTCAAGTGCCCCTCGTACAAAAGAAAACCTCTCTCGTACGTTCACAGGAGTCCTAAATGCGACCTGCAGTATCATACAGTCCAAGATGTGACAAACGTAAGAGATGGTGATTTTCCTCTTATTTTGGTTTCTAGTGTCAGAGAACACAAAAGCAGCAAAGTAGGGGGATATATCTGAAAGTAGATCATCCATAGTTCATACATTTAAATCCTAACTCAATATAATACAAACTTAACAAAATATTGGGTGTGAATACTTGAAGAAAAGTGAAACTTCATTCAAACATCTATTGAGATCAATTAGGACATTGTTGTTTCTATTCAGATTTTTGATCATTTTCATACTTTTTGAAATATTCAAGTTTTTTCCCCCAGTTAAAATAATAAATGGAATGTTAAAATTGAAACATTTTTAGTTTTTATGCGTTTTCAGGCCTGAAATACTCATTCATACTTTCAGCTAGAAACTTTAATGACAGTATTATTACTTCGCTTTCAAATCCCATTAAAACTACTCAAAATATGAATCATTGCAGCACACAATCTGAGCAACAGAATATGCTCTAAACTGATCATTTTACTATTTTTACCAATGATTGTTTATTACACAGAATTGACAACGCAAATAGTTGACTGTATGAACACTTTAAATTAAACTGTACAGGGAACGATGCCCACAGGTAATGCTGTATGTAAAGAATGAATACACAACCAGTAGCTATACTGACAACATGATTACTCTACAGTTCACCTGAGGAACATCCCTAAGTACGAGAAGGCCATACGTTTTGGTGTGAACAGACTGTGGAACCCCTCCAAGGTAGACGTTAAGTAGAGAGGGCTCAGCTTTTATCACATAGAATACGTTCATGCATTAGCACCTTCTCCAGCTCATAGGTGGCCTTTGTTGCTATAAGGATAACAAATATATGAGAGGTGATGAGTTCATGGTGGCTGAGCGTATATTACAGAATTCTAAATAATTGCTATTGATTAGTGGCAGACCCGGCTTTAGGAGCTTGATTTTGTGAAACAGAAGAGTGGATTTTCAGTCTTTATTATTAATTCATATCTACATCAGCCAAAAGTGCGTGGTGGAAGGGGCCAGGTCAAGTCCCTACACAGGGTAACTGCCACCTTAAATTTCAGGGCTCGTCCGGGATTTGAACCCGAGACCTCTCACACCCTAAGTGAGAATCATACTTCTAGACCAATGAGCCACATACATGCTGGATGTATGTCAATGTTTCCGATTGTTTCCTTAAGAAATTGATCAGGAGAGGTGATTTTTAATGCTCTTGACACAATGTGACCCTTCTTGCAGTTCTCCGTGAAGATGGTATCCAGCTTGCTGAAAATAGTTTGAAAAGATGTAAAATATGTTTTCTACAGTGGCTGCATTTTACAAATGATCCTAATTGGATGTTAGATTTCTGTATTAAAAAGGGTTCCTGCACAAACAGTGCAGTAACATGTGATGCCTCATTCAGTGTTCCCTCTTAGAGGTGTTTGTTGCGTTGACTGCAATACTGATCAATAAGAACAACATCTTTGTACTTTGATCAAATGATGGAAGAGGGGAGATCATTTTTTTGTTAATTTGTGTATCACTGATTTAATCTTGTTAGAAATGTAACAGCAATTCAGGCTGCAACCAATAATTCTTTTCATTATCGATTAATCTGGTTGTCCAGAAAATGCAAAAAAATATTGATCCCAAAACCAAAAGTCCTTAAATGTCTTTTGTCCACAACCCAAATATATTCAGTTTACTGTCTGGAGGACGAAGAAAATCGGAAAATATTCACATTTAAGAAGCTGAACTCAGATAATTTAGACATCCTTTCTTTAAAAATGACTCAAAACAATTAATTTATCATCAGAATAGTTGGTGATTTAGTTAATAGTTGGCAAGTAATTGATTAATTGATTAATCTTTTATAGTATTAATGGTATTCATGAGAAGACCGCAATACTACCTTGCCCCAGTTTTTTTCATGTTTGGGATAACTTGATTGACCCTAATTTGCATACAGTTAATACAATATCAACCAAAACTTTCCAGATATTCAAATCTAATCTAATCAAATCAAGTTTATTTAGTGCACATTTAAAACAACCTGAGTTGAGTTGTGTGCTGTACAAATGAAAGTGCACAGCACATGAGTAAAAAAGGCACACAACACCAGAAACTATATATATACACAACAATAACAAATATGTGCCCAAATGTAAAACATAGACAGAACAAGACTTGTAAAAAACATGTGAGTCTTGAGTTTTGTCTTAAAAATGACAAAGGAGGGGCAGCGCTTAAGTTAAAGCGGAGGGCTATTCCAAAGCTTTGGAGCTCCCACTGCAAAGGCACATTCTCCCTCACCTACCAACCTTGATTGTGGAACAGTTAAAGACAACTGTTCTCAGGATATTAAGAATAGAGTTTGACACACACGGCCCCTCAACATGACAAGGCCTAAAAGCAACCGTGCAAGGTGCTTGCATAACCATCAGTGTTGGCCACAGCCACACAAAGCACCATGGATCTCACCATTTTATTTAAATTCTGTAGTTGTTCACATATTAATCAAACTGCCACACAGACAACCAGGGGCTTCAGGGGCTTCAGGGGCTCTGAGGTCACCCGCTTTGCCCACTTGATAACTCTGCCTTGCATCCAAATATCAAGTCCTAACATTGTCTGTAGTTGGTTGTATTAATGTATTACTCTGGAGAACAAGATTTGTATGCCAGGGCAACGTTGCAGCACCACAATATGTCATTACAGCTCATAATGCTTCTGCGATTTGGATAATATTGCGATTCATTGTGCAGCCCTGACCCTGAGACGTGTAGCTCTTGTATCCGACGGCACTTGAAAGCAGCAGCAGCAGCAGCATAGTGGGCTAGTCGTTATCAGTAGCCACATCACCAGCAAGCAGCCACCAGCGGCTGCAGTTACAGGTTCCGCACTCGGTCGAAAGACAGGGAAATAGCAACAGAGAGAGAGAGAGAGAGAGAGAGAGACCGGTCGGAAGCGGAAAAATCCTTCACACAGGTCAGTTCTTTGTTTTATTAGCAGCAGAAAAGTGCAATATGTGCCTTTACGGCTTCACCGTCGCCTGTCGCATAGACTCAAGTACATGTGGGGATGCTGTGGTGTCGCAACCTGATGTCCCCCCCCCATTTCTCGCTCCTCTATCGATTGTCAGTATCATGAATTATATATTATAATTATTTTTACCATAAATGTAAGTAGTTGTATAATTGTACGTCCGTGAAGCTAGCCTGAAAACACAACAACAACACGGTTAACACAATGAGAGGAGCTTTTTTTTTTTATTGCCTGGTTGTAGCTACACTAACCTAAATAATGATAACTTAGCTATAGCTAGCTACAATGATACAATGATAGCTTTAACGTTACAAGCTATTAAAGGTTGAAGCTAAAAAATAAAAATAAATAAATGCTGGTGTTGTGTTGTTAGCGGCTGCTGGTGAAGGGCTGGCAATACGAGACTTACCAGACCAATATTAAAGTTACGACGCCACTATTTTTAGAGATGTTTTCACTTGTTATGTAACGTTTCTTTGGCGATTTGTATTAATATCCCACCAATGTTGTAACGTTGTGTCCACTCCGGATTTAAGACTTTCTGGAAGTTTCTTTTAATCTCATCGGTCCCGAGTTACAGCTCTGCACTTGTCTAATGTCGGACTGGTGTGTTGATGTGATGGTAGTTTCTAGAAAGTGCACAAACATTGCCCACAGGAAGGAGAAAAGACTGTTTTTATGTTCCTTAATTGACAAGCTACAGTTGGTTTTTTTCCACCCGTGGTTGCCATTGGTTACACAGACCTTGGAGTAAGTAGTTAGTGGAAGTATTATAATTTACTTTTAATAAGTGTATTAAAGTAACTTTCACCTGCTGGCTGATTAGCTGCAAAATCCTAATTTCATTATATGTAATGTGAATAAAGGCGAGCAAAAACTTTACATACTACAACAGATCGATTTACTGATTAGTTCACTGACTCATAATGATCCTTTTGATAGTTGAGTAATCTTCATTTATTAGTGGTTCCAGCTACTAAAAATGTGAGGATCATTGTAGATAATAATAGTTAATAGTGGTTTTTAGAGACAAAACTAGAGCCTTGATAGGGACATTTTTCCCCATCTTATTATAAGACTAAATGAATAATTGATTAATCCCAAAACTTCTCCACACATGAATTGATAATGAAAAATATTATTAGTTGCAACCCTGTGAGGCTGTAATAAGCTTTGGTATTTTTATTTGATGAATGACTGAAACAATTGATTGTTATTAAGAATAAAACTAGACTATATATATTTATATATATATATATAAGTGTAGCTAAAACCTTCATGATGTACTAGGTATTAGAATATGTAATTAAATATGCCTTGTTGGCATTAACTCACAGTTTGACTTGAAAGATTTAGTGTACAATGAAACTACTATTCAAAGGGTTTTTGACATGCATTCATTTGGTCATTTGAATGATCTTTAGGTGACACAAAGAGGGTCTTGTTGTGCCGTTTGACCACTTTTGTGAGATAAGTTTGACTTGTGGGGGCCCCATCCTTATGAGGTATGGGTAAATAAGAATATATTACAGTGCTAACAACTCTTTGGATAACCTGTGTTACGTGACATCTCAGTAGGTGCGGGGTTGTTGCCTTCTGAAGCAGTAATTAATTCAACTTACTTTACACCCAGATTGTTTTAAAAGGCATATAAATTAGAAAATGTTTTCCACACTGGCGTTTATATCCATCACATGCAAATTTGTGAATGGATTCACTGTCCAGGGAGACAAAGCTCGCCGTTGTTTACACAGTAAAGTCTTCTTGGGATGATGCCCTCTTAGAACATGTTTCCACTAATAGAAAGTAAAGAGAAAAATTGGATTGCGTCGACACTCTGTAGTGTTTGAATCACAAACACTCCTCTCGTTGCTAATCATTTCAGGTAAGGCACATACTTAATTATTGTGTTGTGTTCAGTTGTCATCTGCCTTCTCTCTTGTGGTAGCTGTGATTTGTGTTAGGTGTTGGTTTCTAGGAGCCTGTTTTGTCGTCCGTTCTCTTTTCTTGTCAATGTCAGATTTATTTTTTTGTGTCGTATGAGTGTTCTTAGACACAATGACAGACCTACTCCTGCTGCCTTTGTTGATTGCAGTCTCAGTGGGGGCGATAAAGTACTCCGTGTTCAGTTCGTAACAGCATGCGGCTGGGTTTGCAGGTAATTATTCGAAAAAAAAAATAAAAAGTCTGTAGGGAAAAATTGGGCCCAAAACAAAAGAGATCTAGGGAAGTCTAATCAGAGTTTGTAATCAAGAGATAAAACCTAGAGCTTCTCTGCAGGGAGTTGCTGTGCAGACAGAAATCATGAAAGCTTTTACAACACTGACTGATGTACCTTTTATTAGCCCACACCCTGATTATCTGCTGATACTGACATGATGTTGCTTAGAGTAAGTTGCAGGACATAAATTCCCCGCTGATAACTTGTGATGTCCATCATTGTTGGGGAATTTCCAGTCACGCTGTAGCCCTCCAACCCTGATCTGTATCCTATCATACTGAGCTTCTGGTGCATCTGTCTGATCTGATATTCATTTTTATTATGTATTTATTCATTGTCTTCTAATTAATAATGCCACTCAGTGCACACTTAGCCCACAATAGACCCACATTAGAATGAATAAAGCACTTTAGATATGCTTGATAGCTGCTGAATAGCTCTGCATTAAGAAACCTTGACGTGTCACATCTGTCCTTTAATGGTTTAATGTACTTTGCATAGTGAAGTGTTTTGTAAGATATCTGTGGAGTGTTTGTCTGGATCTGTAGTGACAACAAGGTTTGGACAGCCTCTTTTCATCTCCAGCATGAAGTAAATATTAAAGTTCAAATGCAGACAGTATATTATATTAATATTGAATAATAATATTGACTTATGGTATGCTGACATGAGCAACTAGGTATAAACATGTTATGTATTTTTCCTTTTTTGAAGTTCAAAATCTGATGTATTTGTTTTATTTATAGTGATTTCCAGTAAAGTTTAGCAAACAGAATCTACTGAAATGTTTTGTTATCTGTTATATTAATAATCTTGCAGTAACAGTAAAGTTTATTGTTTAACTGTAAAATAAACTGCCTCAGCAAAACTTTATCTAAATGGTTCGTCTTCACATTATCTTTTATCTCTTTGGCCTAATGTGTTTTGAATGTGGGTGAAAACTTGTTCTAACCTGTTGTTCTAGCCTGCAGTCAGGACGAGTATTGATGCACTGTAATGGAATGCACCCCATGGTTATTGATTATTTGCATACTGTGACAAAGAATTGACAAAGTTACTTACTGTAACATAAATGTGGATCCCAAATACCACAGACAATCTCCAAATGACGGTCTATACTATATCACATAGCCTAACATCTTTACATTCCTGGCTTTACACTTATTTCTTGTGCAATAATTTGACTTTTAGCCTGATTTATCTACTGTTAACAAAATACTGCCCCTCAAGGGGAATCTCATTTGGCAGTTCTGCACAGCTGAAAAAACACTTGAACAGATGTTGTTGTAATCTCTCGCTGCTCAACTTCTCTAGAAGTGTCTGCTGATTGCTACGGAGTCGATGTTTCATACTGAGATCACACCTTTGATGTTGACTTCAGTTAACTAGTTCTGCCCCTGAACCCATGAAAACTAGTTTATTATATATTATAGATATTAAATCATCTATCCATTGATTTCAGAGTTGTTTCTTCCCTTGTATCTTCCACTTGTCGCTCATGGGAATCCCCTATTTCATAGCTAGCTGGGTGATGTAGTCCCTCCAGAGAGTCCTGTCCTGAGGTACCCTTGCAGTTGGTTATTCTCAGTACACCTGTCAAAGAGTAGGTGGTGGACACGAGGTCATCACAAATACCCAAACCACCACAGCTGGCTCCCTTAAATATGAGTGACGCATCACTGTGGTCTTCAACTGATCACTTCCTGCAGAATAACGCCATCTGTCTTGTATAGAGGTTTCATTTTACATACATCAGGGTCGGATTGAAGGTCAGACAGTACATTGAGAGAGTTTCTTTATGAATCATGTCTGTCGTTACAACCGTAGTTTGATACATTGAACCTAACTGGCTGTCAGTTTAATTTTCATGATTTTTACTACCTTCACTTGGAAATTATAAAGGTGCTTGAGGGTTTATTTCAACCGGCTCTTAAACCACAATGGAAACAGAAAGAGATCCTTTCGTACAACCATGACAGTAATTCATTATCACTGTGATTTCCTCTTAAAATAGGTTTGAATGGGAAAATCACAAAATATTTAAATGTTTATGGGAACAGCTGTTCCCACAGTCAATTTGCTAAAAATGTAACGTTATTAAGGACTGGTCAGGGACCTGCACAGCCAAAAACCACTGTTAAAATATGTTAAAGTAGCAAAAATGCTGCTTTTCCAGCAGTTTCTTTTTTTACTTTAATCTAATTAACAAGAATATAGACCCCCTTTATTCTTAACTTCATTATTCAGTTGACTCCTACTAGTGCTTATTTCAGGAAAATTAGAATAGAATAATGATGGACTGCCTCGGTCTGCGAACTGATAACTTTTAGAACCATCACCTCTGGTTCACTAAAGGCATCATGGGATTGACTGACCCACATCTGTTTGCTCACACTGAGGCATAGTTCACGCTGAGCGGAGCAGGAATCCATCAGATCTGGGTTAGCTGTGTAACGCTACCACAAGGCATAAATCTGCACATGCATGCATGGGTGGACAGACAGACATACACACACTGCATGAAACCATGAGTAAACACATCAGACATATCAGACAGTAGTGTCCATTAACTCCCAACTGCTGCAGGGGACTGACGGCAGGTGAGTGGGTCAGTAAAGGCTGAAGTCAGGGGGATAAAAGAAGATGCATTTAATATGATGAGCCAGGACATCGGGTTGGTTTTTATTTTAAAAACAGAGGAAAACGATGACTTTCTGGGTCATATCTCTTTTTAATACTGTGGTCTATATTAGGATGTGGAGATAGAAGGAGGACATTATAACAGATAGATTTTAAATCAGTAAATTTCAACAGTAAAGGGCAGGTAGATAATGTCAGATGGAGATTTAGAGTTAACGCCTGCCCGCATCTGAAAGAGAGGAGTTTAGTGTCTGTGCCATGTCCCAACCAGGACTCACTCACTGGCACTGCCGTGTGCCAAACACCCCCAACCCCCCTCACATACTCATAACACACACAAACACAATCTAACAGCAAAGGCCACAGGTTATAAATAGCAAACAAACAGGACACAGTGGACTCCTAGTGTAAGTGGTCCTCACTGGTTTGTTTATCATTTTTAATACGATAGCTAGGATAACTCTCGTTGATTAATGGTTGACTGGGGGTTTGCTTGGCATTTTCCTCGTTGTTTTAGTTGGCCTGTTGCCGCCTGATGAATAATTTTGCCTGTCTGAGAAGACACACACAAGTAACTCGTTCAGTTGTCTTAGATAATCTGTTAAGGTCAAGGTGTGGAAGAGAATACAGACGGTCTATTTAAGTGTGGCAGCTTTGATTTATCAGGTTTTGTCAATATTTTGCATCATAGATTTTTGTCTAACGTTTGTTAAGAGGCCAAAGTAAACAGAGAATGGGTTTGGGTTTTTGTCCTCATACATTATCTTTTTTTCTTCCCCACCGTGCTCTGTTATAGAGGTGCAGATTTTATAGTTTGGTTTAAGCAATGATTGTTTATGTGTGTGAGTGTAACAACTGTCTCCTAAGTATGATACATTATCATTTAATATTTTTTAAAAGTGACATTGAGTTTTAGAAGTAAAAATAGGATTTTCTGAGCCAAAACATACATAAATTAAACTTTAAACAATGTAGCTTTAAGCTGAGAGAAGGAACAGATCTCCCATTTAGCAAATTTTTATACAGACAGCAGAGCAGAACCTGAAAACCAGATCCTGCTCTGCTTGTATGGGTGGTAAAAGAAAGCTTGTGACATACTGTGTTTAAGTCCCACCCACAGCAAAAAATATGCCAGTGGGGAAAGTCTTACCCTTTTATTAACATCATAAAACATTGCTCCCCACAGACTGTAATCTGCTCAGATCATCAGTGGATTATGCTCAATATCACTGAAATAACAGAGGGTATAAAATACGATAAAGGTCATTATTAACTGACATGGACAGCCAAAGGCAACCTCCATTGGACACATGAGGGCGGTGGCAGCTAAAGACTATATTTAGTTTAGGAAATATGTTATCTACTGTGACTTGAGAATAATGTGTGACAGAATTAATACTCAACACTATTATTTTCTGAAACAGTGGCTCCTTAATTTTACACAGTTTTGGATAAAAGATTTTATTAGTTATATTAGTATAGGCAACATTAGTTCCATGAGATGGAAACAAGCAACATGTAAAGTGTGTCTTACACATGAGTGCTACAAAAACATATTATGGGATTGTTGTTGGGTAAACCTCTCCAAATTTGAACTATTTAGTAGGACAGAGCTAACGTTACCATAATCTTTAAATATCTTTCAGATGGAAAATACAACACAGTGGATGTTCTAGTTGTGAACCGGGCTAAGAGTAACTTGTAACCCCATAAACTAATGTAGTTTGTTCATAACAACGTGCTCCCTGGCCTTGGGAGTAATGCTAGGTTACTTCTGTAGGTAGTAGACTAGTTAGCCAGATATGCTAATGATTGCAGCTTAAGTGAGGGTTGAATAACCAGTTTGGAGAATGGATAGCCATTTGGTAACTTTATCAGTAATGTGATCCCTATCATATTTATCTGTCTCTTGCTGACATGTTTTACCCCATGAAGCTCATCCAAACAGGGTCAAATCTCTTGCTTTTAGTAGTTTGATATTTAATTTGATCTACCTCCTAGATCAAGACTCAATATGTTGGCAGCAGTTGTTATTAAAGTACAAAGAACAGAAGAGATTGTGATGACAATGATATTTTGTGCGGTTTATCTTCTCTGTGTTGTAGTATTGCAAAAAAAAAAAAAACCCAGAAGGAAATCTGGGGCTAAATCTAGACAACCATAATATCTCCTGATACTTTTTCATCAGACCTGTTCTGTCTTGTTCTGAGAGGCTAAGCCTCATAACTTCTGCACTAGGTCATGTTTTAAAAAAAAATGCTTCATGGTCTTTATAGCTATTTCCAAATTTCGAGAACAGAACATGATTTACATTTTCTCTGTTACAGCCTCAGGGTGAGGGATGATCACCCACTTATTATGTAATTTAGCTTGGCTTGTATTAGCTTAGCTGTCTTCCTCCCTGCATCTCTATTTCAGTACAGTTGATTACACTGTTGGGTATTGCTGTCCTGTTTAGTGCAGTTGCCCCCTACCTCTCCTTTACAGATTTACCCCCCTCAGGCCTGGAAGAGAAGTTCCTCACCCATCACACATTGCTATGCTCAGTTGCAGTTTGTTCGGCTTTATCTCTCCAGGCTAACATGTCTTAACAGAACTTGACTTTATTTCCACAGGGTTTTGCACAGGACCCTCACACAGGACAGCAACTACAGACTCACACAGACAGAGCCATGGTGGAATACTACCAGATATTAGGAGTCCACAAAAATGCAACGCAAGATGACATCAAAAAAGCGTAAGTGCCCCTGAGTGTTTTCTGTTCTGGTTTTCCCCTGGTGTTGTTGTTAAATCTCGGCCACTCAGAGGGGTGTAATAGGTTAATTATAACCCACTCAAGCTGTTTAAACTGACACAGAGAGAGAGAGAGAGCGAGAGAGAGAGAGCAGAGAGACTGCAATGCAGAAAGTTTCCACTCTTCTTCCTGTAACCTTGCCGCTGTCAAATACCTTCCCCATACATTCACCCACTACTTGTAGTTAACCACTCAAAAGACCAATTCCATTTAATTGCACTACTTCAGGTTTCTCACGAACACGTTTTTGTTTTGAGAAGTGAACAGTTTCCTATAAATTGAAGTGTCTATTTAAATGTTACGGACAGAAATAAGCTGGTCTGAATTAGGCGTGTGCTCCAGAGGTTAAATTAATTAACAGTTATTTTGATTAATGCTGTAAATCACTATGTGAAGTAAAATCTTTTAAGTGGGGAGGAAACTATTGAACATTACGGATTATTGCTGATCAAATAAACCAGTGTAAGCATATTCAGTTTGCCAAGAATCCAGCATAGAAAGATAGCGAATGCTGAAGCCTGCTATCTTTATGCACTTGATTGTTGGCTGTCAAAGTCAAGCGGTATCTCAACTGACACCAATCAATAAGTCATATCTTTGGCCTATGACCCCCGCTCAGTCTTTTTTGATCTCTGGTAGAATTATTTGTCATGCTAGCTGCAAGGCTCCACTTCAAATCCTCCTTTGGTGTGAGTATATAAACAATTATTGGACGGATTGCCATGACATTTTTGACAGGTATTTGTGGTGCACAGGGGACAAATCTTAATGGAATTTGTTCGCCCTTGACTTTATATCTAGTGCCACCAGCCGGTCAAAAATTTCAGTTATCTTGTAAAATATAATAGCATATAATGAATGATTTGGTAAGGCTTTGTCATGGCTGCTGGCTTTTCCTTAAGTGTCAACGGAAGGTCGACTGTGGTTTTGAGTGAAGTGTCTCAACAACTACTGGATGGATTGTCAATGTTCCTCTCCTTTGGTGATCCCTTAGCTTTTCATATAGTGCCATCATCAGGCCAAATTTTTAATTTGACCATTACTTTGGTAGTACTATGCACTAAAGGCTACTACTTGCAAAAGCCAAAGGCAGACGTTAAATTGGGTAATTAAACACAAATTAAATGTCATTGCGCAGTATTTTAATCCTCACACGACCAACTCTGTAATCATACAACCGTCTCTTGACTATGTGAAAACTCGCAAGTCGTTAACATGGGAATGTTTCCTCTCTCTACCGTCCATCCCATATGATGTGAATGTGGCAAGTACAGCCTCACAGAGATGCTAGCATGCCTATAGACCCTTAGCTTCATTTGTTGATTAACGTGATGGGTATGAAATTACAGCCAAGAGGGCGAGAGTTAATACTGTCCTTAGAGACTTTTGAGTATTCAGAGCAAGATAATACTTGCTGTTGCTTTTACTGGTGAACATGTGAGCTTGTGACTACAAACACACACAATTGTTCAATTTAGTCTGGCTGGTTGATTATTGAACAGGCTTTAGACAGTCAGATAATGCCACAGATTACAACAAAGACGTAGACTACAAAGAGTATTCACTATGGATCCACAAGGGAGTCAATCCCTGGATTGTGTGCAGCCTTTTAGATGGCTGACTCGCAGTCCGTAGTCTCGTCCACAGTATCTGTGTGTCCGCCGCCGGTGCTGCTGCTGGCTTTGAAACAAACAGCTGATACAGCGTAAGCTGCTGTCCGAGCCCACGCTGCAAGTCATTGAAGTTCAGGCTGTCTTTGTTATTTCTGGTTGGGTGGAGAGAAGGATAGTGTGTTTATGTATTTGTGTGTGCACATAGAGGGGTGGTGGGTGTCTGTGTGTTTGGTGTAGGCATGGTTGCCAATCTAAAAAAAGACAGATATGTGTTTCTGATAGGGGGATAGCTGTTATTTTCCAACTCCCATTTCCCATTTCTATTTGGGGTGCCCCAGTAGCTCACCTGGTTGGGCTTGCACCCCATGTACCAAGGCTCCTTACTGCTGTGGTCCAGGTTTGAATCTGTGGCCCTTTGCTCCGTGTCATCCCCTCTCTCTCTTCAATAAAAAGGCAAAAGCCAAAACCTTTAAAAAAAAAAAAAAAAAAAGTGCTATTGGCATATCTACAGTATATGACATACATTGTGTGTTTGTATCTATTTTGATGTCTGTCTTTATTTTAAGTGTATGGTATCGGTGTCTCAGTTACAGAAAATTGGCACTGAAGTGGCATCCAGACAAGAACCCAGACAACAAGGAAGAAGCAGAGAAAAAGTTCAAAGAGCTGTCAGAGGCATATGAAGTGCTCTCCGATGGTAAGGTTTTCCTGCAGAGGGAAGAAATCTTGTTATATACAGTCGCTATGTTAAGTCCTGAAATATATGCACTGTTTGAAATGAACTACTCTTACATGTGTTGTCACCTGTACTGCACTTCCATGTCAATTTTGTTGCTATTACCAGTATGGCATCTTTAGGTTTTGGTAGTGATACCAAAATCTAAATGTTAAATATCTTCTAAACACATGTGGCCTTAGAACAGAAACAAATGCAGGCTAAATTGGCAAAACTATCATTTAAATCAATAATTTTCGGATTATTGCATATGTTGAATTTGAAATGGCAACTTTCAGTACTTTTTTTTGCTACAGACAAATTTAAGTCGGTAATAAAAATATTAAATAAGTGTTGAGGTTTGATACTTAGCCCTGCTGATTACATGTAAATGTATCAGGCATCAAATGTACCAAGCAGGTAAGCTATTTCATTAGTCATGTGTCTTAAGTGGATGTGATTACCAGAATAAAATGAGATTGGAGTGTCTGGAATTCAAATGTGGGATTGAGAACAGAGCAGAAGCCTGTAACATTTAAATTTTATTAGTCGCAGTTATGTATCATGCACTCAGTCACATGAAGCAGGTATTGTTTGCATTTGCAGTTCACAGTGTCAGGATTGTTTATGCTGGAGTGTGGAGGCCTTGTGCAGAGTTCCTGTGCGGTTTACTTTCTGTTCGTGATTTGATGTCTTAAACGGTTAGAGGTTAGGCCTGGACAGTAAATGTGTTCAGACACTGTTATGAGTTACAGCCAATAAGTCTGCATGCAGATGGTCAAACTGATTAATGACATACATAGAACACATATCAGTTAGATGTGATTTGGACATGTTTTTTGATTATTATAATTAGTCGCTGTGAAAGCAAAAATTGTGATACTAACATATACTACCAGTGTGGTGAATTGTGTGACTTTTACTGAGGTTTAAAATACGACCGGGTGGGAAGTTTGTCTTCCTGTTGGTCTGTGTTATCTGTCTCTCTATCATATCTAAAGAACTACTCCTCCCACAACAGAAAGCAAGAGGAATATTTATGACCGATACGGCAAAGAAGGCCTTTCAGGAGGAGGAGGAGGAGGGGGAGGAGGTAAGGAGACGACTTTCCAAATAAAATAATATTCTTGTCAGTGCCATGGAGATGATTGATAAGATTTCAGTAGTCACTTTTCATACGGAGATGGCAAAATATGATGAGGATTAAAAATAAGATGATTTAGAGTCTTTAAATTTTTTTTTAGTGGCATGGTACCAGCAGCTTTTTGTATTGCGTTGGTATTTTTTATGACTGCCTACTTTTGATTAATAATTCTACAGTTTATGAGCTTTACTGTTGTTTTAATGTTTTACAGGAGGCCATTACGAACACTTTGGCGGCAGCGGCTTCACATTCCGTAATCCTGATGATGTTTTCAGGGAATTCTTTGGCGGCAGAGATCCATTTGCAGATTTTTTTGGTAAGGCACTGAGGCACTGATGGGATTCCTTGTTTTCAAAAAGTAGGAAGAAAGATGGACTGAAGAGAGTCACAAGAGTGGGGAGCACGCAGTGGCTATTATTAACTGCATGATTTTATCTGGTCAAAAATATACACAGATGAATTTGAAGGCTCAAGAGAGATGGAGCGAAAAGGAGGACATCCTGTAGGTCTCAGTTTTATATCGTGTAAAACATAGATTTCTGTTTCCTAATTAGTTAGCTGTTAGTAGCTCCTGGTGTGTAGAAATGTGAAAGATTGAGCATTAGACCTATGAAACCTTCTGCCAAGCCTGGTGCTAATCCCCCACAGCACTGTAATGTGCATCTCCAGTACTCTAAGCAGTGTTCACCTCGGGAGGTCATCTGCCACTAAATACGTACATACGTTGCAAAGCAATGAGTGTCTCTGCTGGATGTTGACCTCTACTTCAGTATGTATCTGTTAACCAGGGTTTAGACCTATTAATTTACTCCAGCTTCTTTAAATAATGTATACATATCCTTCATCAGTTCCAAAGCAATGGCATCATTACAGACTATTTTAGTTAGTTAGTTATTGAAACATACATCCATGAAAAGTATTAAATTAAATAAAAAAATTGAATAATGATAATATAACAAAGAAGAAACACAAATACATTTAAATATAAACAGAGCAAGCTTAGTTTACCTAAGGTAGAAGGATAAAGTTAAGTTACGTGTAGATTTTATTAAGTTTATATTAGAGACAGAGTTTATATTACATTTTAGCCATGTTTTTCTTACAAAGAAATATAAGAAAAAATACATCTTAGTGGAGCTGAAACAGTCGGTTAGTCAATTGACAGAAAATTACATGGCATCTATTATGATAATCTAACAATGGTCTTCTAGCAAATTTGCCCAAAATAAAAATCCCATGTGATAGCAAACTGAACATGAATCAGACTGTCACCATTGGGATCATGACATTTTATAGATTATGATTAAACAAGAAAATAATAGGAAGATTAATCAATAATAAAAAATTAATTTCAGTACACTATCCATTTTGTCAGTTGTGGACATGTTTTTCATTCAAAGTTTTAAAGCTGTTACTCTTAATATAATGATGGTAATAATAAAGCTTTTTGGTTTTTATATAACCCTTGAGGGCTATAGTACTGCTGGCTAAGGTAATATATGGTTGTCCAGTGGCATTTGTTATGACAGCTTGATAGTTTATTGTATCAGAAGTGTCAGTGGTTGCATTAAATATAGTTATAGGAGTTTAGCCGTTATAGCCTGTCCTGGGTTGTCTGGGTTCAGCAAAAGGCTGATTGGAAGGCATGTGTAGTTCACCCCGTGTAGCTCTAAATATGGAGTTTGGACGCAGGCAGAGGATGGATTTAAGCGTCTACATCACTCAACTGGAATGCTTTCAAAAATAGCTTCCGCATTAAAACAAAAGCAGATGTAATAACGCCAAGTGTGTGTGCGCTGTGTCTCTGTGTGTCAGAACACATGTAAAACGCGGTACACCCGCTCTCGAGTGGGGGTGTACAACGTAAACTTGTTGAAAAAAAAAATCCTCTACAAGTTTATAGAAATGAGCTTGAATTAGAAGTTTTAGGGAAAGTCGTCATCATTATTTATATCGGATTCTTTTATAAGCTGCCTTTATGACACTGACATGTGTTACTGTTGTATTTATTAACATACATAAGATAGAGTGGTGGAGCTCAGCTGTTGCTGTTTACACTGCTCAGTAAGGGACTGTTTAAAAAAAGCCAAACCATGAAGCTGTCTGCACCATCGTGCAGAAGAGTAAAGTTCAAGTTCTATTTTGACTGCAGACAACCTTTATTATGCTTGATTGATATGAAACAGGATATGCCAAAACATCCATCTTGTCATGTTTATGTCAACCCTATATTAAGTGTTTTTCCATGGATATATTTATGCAAAGAACCATTTTGGTTTTCTTGACTTCCCTTAAGATGGCAGCCATAGAAATATAACAGAAATAAAATCCCATCCAGCCTCCAGTCCTGCATTGTCCAGCAGCTTGTCTCAGTGAGCAGCAGCTGGTCCTGTGGATCTGTCACTCACCCACCTCAAAACGGCCAATAGACTGAGGGATTGGTGGGGGGGGTCTGTGCGCTGTTGAGACAAATACAGATTCCCATGATGACGAGGGCTTAGTCGTCTGCCAAGAACAGCACATACTCATTCTCAAGTGAACATTGAAGAAGTGGACAAGGAAATTTCAGTTTTAGTTTGTCATTTTTTTTGCAAAAACATTTCAATGTTCCAGCTTCTCAAATGTAACGATTTATTGATTTTCCTTATGATTATTTTAATAATTTTAATTTGTTTTATAATTTTGAGATGATTGACTGAGAAAATGATCAAGACTTTATAACATATTTATTATATTACTTATTTAAGTAATATATTTATATATTTTTTAATACTTTAAGAACATTCTCCTGATTATAATTGCATACTTTTACTTAAAGGTGTGATTCATGCCCCAGTGCGGATGCTTTGGTAATCCAAAGCCTCTGTATTTGATGATCTATCTTGAATTACTGACCCCACCTTTTTAAGTCACATTTTCAATACAAGACTTCTACTTGTGTATTATATACTTCCACTTAAGTGAGGGATCTAAATACTCTCAGATTTTCTACATTATGGTGTACATGCACATCCACACTTAATTTATTCTGTGCTACATTCTTTGCTGATCTCAGTCTTTGTGTGTGACAGATCTTGTAAAGTTCTGTCGGAGCACAGAAGTGTGAGAGCACTTTGCCTCAACTTTTCTCCCAGCTATCTCTTTGTGTACACTGATCATGTACACAAGAGTTAAACCAGAATTCCAGTGTTTAAGCAGCATTTCTCAGGCTTTACATCTCCCTGTCAAAGAGAGGGAGATGTAAAGATCTCCCTCTCTTTCTTCCACCGATGTCTGCTGTCTTACTGACAGCATTGTAAGAGCTGAGCTGTCCTCCGATGTCTTCTTCTAAATGAAGAGTAATGTAATTACAGCAGTGGTCAGAGGATACTTTTATTTTAAGCTTTCTGTCAGAGAGAACAAACAAAGCTTTCTTATCGTGGCCTCGGTACATTCAAGGTTGAAGGAGGAGTCTTCTTTCAGAAAATGGTGCCAGTGATCCAGCCTTATCCTGCAGGGGTGACCCAGATTGGCAGCATGAAATTAGTAGCATGTCCGTAGGGCTTTAGGATGAGAATGAAGTGGTGGGCACTTTGACAGTTTAGGGTTAAGATTGTTCCAGAAATTACAAATGGACGCTGTGACATACACCGCCGCTTTTTAATGATCAGGTACTTAAATCTTTTGGAATGTAGAATCAGCCTTAAAGCTATATTATTATTGCTTATTGTTATATTAACAATGGATCGAATGACTGTGTAATGTGAAGTAGATGGCTCATTGTGACAAACCCACAGAGAATTATCACCAAAATCTTAAGTTCCCTTCATTGTTTTGGTCTAGTATTCTGAATAAATTGCTCCATATCTCCTGGATGTGTAAAAATGCAACTGTTTACTAACAAATTCTCCATATATCGATTTAAAAGTGACAGTATGTGAGTTTGGTGTTTACAGCTTGTTTCTGCTGCTCCCAAGTGGCCAAAAAAAATTTAATGCAAGTTAACGTGTTTTTGAAGAAGACATTAAAAACTTGCATTCTGCAGTACAATATGAGCTCAAAGTAAAAAAAAAAATTCCTCTTAATTTGTCAAATTTTTCCCTCCATAGCTGATGACCCCTTTGACGATTTCTTTGGAGGTGGTCGCAATCGCCAGAGGGGCGCAAGCCGAGGAAGGATGGGGGGATCACTCTTTGGTTTTGGGAGCTTCCCAGCGTTTGGGTCTAGCTTCTCAGGGTTCGATTCAGGTGCGTACATCCCAACAAAGAACTCCCCACGTACTGGATTCTTCATAAATCTTTGACGCGTTTCCATTCTGGCTGAGGATTTTTCTTGAATGTGTGCTTTTTTTTTTTTTTTTTTAGGTTTTAGCTCATTTGGAGACATGGGAGGTGGAGGAATCACTTCCTTCTCTTCATCTTTTGGCGGTGGGGGAGGAATGGGTAACTTCAGATCTGTGTCGTCCTCCACCAAGTTCATCAACGGCAGAAAGATTACTACAAAACGGTACTTAAGTGTCAAACTCCCCAGCACTTGTAAAGGAATAGTTCAAAATTTGGGGATATATGCCTGTTTTCTGTCTTGCTGAGAGTTGGATAAGAAGATTGATCTCACTCTGTAACATCAGACGCATCAATCTTATAATCTAACTTCTTGGCAAGAAAGGAAAAATTCCCAAAAATGTCAAACACTTTCTTTAATACCTCTTTAGCAGCCCGACTTCCTGATCTCTTAAGAAACTTGTCTGTTCTTTGTGTTTGTTCCAGGATTGTGGAGAACGGCCAGGAGCGGGTAGAAGTGGAGGAGGATGGTCAGTTAAAATCCCTAACAGTTAATGGTAAGGAGCAGCTCCTAAAACTGGATAACAAGTAACTATCTCGCCAGAGCATTTTGACCAACATACAGTTTTCACACCTGGAAAAACTCGCCAAGTGACTACGTTTGCTACCGGCGGTTGGTCTCTCCTCTCTCTGTCCTCCTGCATCTCATTCCCGAAGAACAATTTCCTCATCTTAGTTTAGCTGCGAGGGAGGCAAGAGAGATGTTCACAGTATTTGTATATTTGTATTTATTCCATTATTATGGGGGGGGACCATCTTGCTGGAATTTGTGTTTTTGTTTACTACAATAATTGTACTTTTTATTTCTGCCATATGCACAAAGTATGTGCTATATATATACATACATTTTTTTTTCCTTTGGGGTGGATATTGTCTTTCTTGTTGTAGCAGGAAAACAAGATGCTGTACATTGATACTTACGCATGTTCATTTTTGCTCTTTTCATTTGAACAGTTTAACAAGTGAATGATTAAAAGCTTAACCACTTTGCCCTAATGTCTTTAACTTCACCTCGCTAACCTTTTAGCTGTTACCATGTTTCACGCGTGTGTAATATGAATGAATATAGATTATTAATAATTAATTTGTTTGTGTATTTGAAAACACCACAGTATGTTTTTGTTTCTGCATGATTGCTGATTCCAGGAGACTGCTTTGTAGTTTCACTGTAACTGTGTCAGCAACTCAACCCATGAACCTAGAACACACACTCACACACACACACACACACACACACACACACATTCACACCGTTTACCAGACAGACAGGGGAATTTTTCATTCTTTGTAAAAAGTAAATAAAAAAACGAGTTCATATTTGGTCAATAAATAATTTGTGGAACGTTGTGTAAAGGCTGCCGCAGTCACCTGGTGTCTCTTGTGTGGTGTTTCTATTGGCTTGATGTATGAGTTGTGTGTGTGTGCGCTTGTGCCTGATCACATTTTTTAAAACCTGCTTCACACAACCGCAATAAAGGAAAACCACAGCAGCTTCTTTTGAACTCTCACCTCATCATACAGCTCACTGTGTGTGCATCATTTTAACCAACTAATGCCTCAGGTTTCAGTGTAGGTGACTCACATTAGGGCTTGGTCGCTGACACTACAGAAAATTGTTTAATGTGCTGTGTGTGCTTTTCACTAAAATAATCCTATTCATTATTTATCTAAGAGATCATGAGGAAACGAGCACTTTGCAAAGATACGCCTGTATCCTCGAATACTGAGGCGTATTCTCTGTGTGGTAGGTATGCTTTACCTTTATGGACCAGGTGAGGACGAGACGACATAAATCACCTTCCTCATATTTCTTAATTTCTATCTTTGCCCCTCCCAGGTAGACATTTATATGGGCTTGTAAAAGTGCTGATAGTGCACCTCTTTTGAATACACCCTCAAACAGAACCTGAGCTCTGCAGAGACAGAGCCAAACTAAGGACTCAACATTTAACAAAACTGTTAAGAAGCCTCATCTTCTAGCCGGGGAAACATCCAATCTGTATTTAAACTTTGAGGTCTGCTTGCGTGTACTAACTTGGTGTCCTATTAAATGTTAGGCACAATAGGCTCAGATTCAGAGTTAAATTGAGTGGTGTGTATGATTGCAGTTGGCTCATAGGTCACCGTGTACAGAGGAAGACTATGTGTGTGTTTCTTTAGGAATGTGCTCGGGGCTAGTTTATTTACACAAGCCCCACTGCATATTTTTGAGAGAGGAAACTGAAGAAGTAGAAAAAAAGGGCAGGGTGAGGCCTTTAGTTGAGTCTTCACATTGAACAACATGAAATGAAATTGTTGGCAGTTGTGATTTTTAAAATGTGCTTCCTGTGTGTGTGTGTGTGAGTGTGTGTTTTGGTGGTGGTGAAGGCCATGTCTCCCACTTCCACTATTTGACATGTATTTGTTTTCTTACAATTTCTCTTTCACTGGCGCTGACAGAAGAGGCGTCTGCGCTTGCGCAGTCCTGTTGCTAGGTGACACTACAGCCCTGCGCCAATCCCTATTGCTTAAAAAGCCTGTATGCTCTCTCCTCCCCCCATCCCTCTCTGTAGGTATGTGTGAAAAAGTAAATTAGAAATAGATGGTGTAAATGGGCATTAAAACACCAACTAGCTATTAAAAAAAATGAGCAGCAATATCTAACCACAAATATCTCAATCCCAGGAGATCCACAAATATGTGAGTGTTACATTTTTTTAAAAAATGTTTTTAACTATATTTAATTTACTGGAGACCGTAAAAATGTAATTGTTCTAACGAGATCATAGCGGGAAGTACAAGTAGTTGGTTGAAAATGTTGCAGGAGCAGGAAATATATTAATGGTGCAATAGCTCCCTCTCCTGGGTAAACAGAGGTTTTATCTTGTTGCGCTAGAAGTTGTAATAATACATTTGAACACTTCTGTTATTTTTTTGTCTATTTTGGGGGGAAATCAGGCTCTGATTTTTTTAACTACACTTCCCATAATTTGAGGGCTTTAAACAGGAAGTATAATGTTGCCACGGAGTCCGTTAGTTAGCTGTAGGCTCTGTTTGACTATATTACTTACATTTTTTACATTGTAACCATTAAAAGTACGCCGAATTACTCATTAGTAGTTTCTGTTTGCAATATACCCATGGATGCACAGATAACTATCACTGGATTACTTTGATACTGAAGAAAACTTAAAAACGTGATGATTCTTAAGCAAGTTCCGGAGTTAAAAGGAGCGTCTTTTTTTCTGACGTCTATGAGCGGTTTTAAAGACGCTTATTTGCCATACACGTCGGAGATAATGCTATCAGTGGCAAGTGTAAATCACTCTGTATCTGAAAATATGAGTTCCGTGGTGTAGGAGTATAATGTTTGGTGGAAATTGCGGGCGTTTGCGTTTACCTTAACTGCGTCCATGAGCTGCTGTTTCAGACACTGTGGCAGCTCCAAGTACTGACTGTGTTAGTAAGCAGGCCATACCATAACTAACTTATTTTCTTTGGATACTTTTAAAAGGATTGGTGAGGTAAAACTACAATATTTAGAGAAGAGAGAGAAACAAAGTCCACCTATTTTTTTCTAATTCTATTACAATTTTTGTTTTATTCCTTACCCAGGCAAACCCCATGCTACCCTACATGTAGGGGCCTATACCCCTAAGCTGGGGACCACTGCTTCAGAGGAAATGTACAGTCCAAAAAATAATATAAAATAAGTAGCAGAATAATAGTATAATATATTAGAACTTATTAACGTTAATTCTAAAATGCCCTTAAAATAAGAAGGATTGCTGCTCTTCACCAGAACCAGAATTTGAAGGTGGACCCTCATGTGGCCACTAGATGACACTGTTTGTATACTAAAGACAGCATGACATCATACATGGCTGAATGATCATTTCCACTACAGGAACCACAAATATTGGAAGACAGTGATGGGAACTGCAGCAACACGTGACATACCCATATAAATATGAATGGAAATTGATTTTTAATGTGAAAACTTACATTTATTCAATTGAATCATCAATACTCTTATTTAAGTGTCAGTACGTTGTTTTATTAGCTATGATTTGCAAACATTATCTTTGTATTTCTTGTTACAAATAACATCTTGCAGCCTTTCCTCCATCCATCCATCCATCCTTTCCAATATGACACACAATACTGTGATTTCCTGTCCTCCAGTGTCCCCACGTTATGAAAGATGGCTTCCTGTTGGCAGAAAGCAGCATCCGGTTTTAACCCCCACCCCCCTGCACCCCTCCACCTCGTCCGCTTGACAGCTTAGCGTGAAACATGGAATCGGCCCGGAGCTGCTGGCCACTTTATGAACGATGGCAAAGATAAGCTGCCAGTTTCTTTTTTGGCCGTGTCTGAACAAGGACACCGACTGTATCTCTCTGTGCTCAGCAGTAGAGTCACATCAGCACGACATACAATGTCTTGAACCGGGGGAAGGTGGACTGTGGAAAATAATCTGGTTCACAGTTGTAGTTGTCATGTAGGGTTAGCCTCCTCCTGAACAGTGATTTATTTTAGGCTTTAGGCTCCAGCCTGCTGCAAGAAAAGGCTGCTTTTTGTCTGTCACACATAGAGCTTGTGTCTGTGTGTGTTTAGGTGTTAACCCGGGTGTTTGTGCCTGTGCACACGTTCCCGAGTTGCAGTCTGGACAGTGTGTATCAAACAGCTTTTACAGATACACACATCATTGTTTAGCCTGGAGACAAATGACAAGCACTCCCAAGACAATAGCCGCAAATTAAAGCATCCATGAACTCAACTATGTTCACTCTGCTTTTCAAATTAAGTCCAGAAAATAAGAGATCTCATTATCATCACTGCTCTTTGATACTGTTTTTGTTGAAATTAATTAACTGATGATGGATTATGCAACCGGATAGCGGAAGAAATCTTATCACCCAGGTAACCGGGCCCATAATATACGCAAATATTGATCCTCTGGGGCAAAGGAGGGCTGGAACAAAGGGCACAAGCTTGGAGTCACATACATGTTGGCTTAATCCAGCTGTCTAACTTCACTTGATAGGATCAACGGACAAATGCAGGTTGGGATTAGCTGTTTTTCCAAAGCTGAATAGAGAACGAGTAGCAGCAGCCTTGAGAGTAAAGCCACCAATTGTCCTGTTTGTGTTGGTCCACTGGGTTCTGGTCTCTCCTCGCAGGGGTCAACTTTGTGTTTTTAAAAGTGTGTTCGACTTAAAAAGCTGATTTGCAAACTCTGAAATAGAGATAATCCAAGTTTGGGGCTAAAGCGACATAAACCACCTCTAAAGTTTAGGTGTTTGCAGCAAGAAAATACTCAGCCAATCTCGACCTTAACACACTCGAAAAGCATTTGTGACAAAGAAATAGGCTTGGGTCAAAATGGAGGTCCTGCAGTAATAAGACGCCTTTTCAGAGAGGATTGAAATCCAGTGATGTCTTTGTCTCTGTTAAGACCTGAGCACATGCAGTCGTCCTTGATTGCCTCAAAACCCTCAACCTCCTCCTGAAAGCCTCGAAAGAGAGCCTTCTCCCTCTAAAATGTACATCTATTTCACAAAAAGCAAAGGAAAAAAAATCATCAAGGATTGTAGCCACAATCTTCTGTGTTTTATTTTCCACATTAATGATTAAAATATGTTTAAGTTGAGGTGGCTCGTGCTCCCACAGGTATACAGCAATGTGTCAGACAAAGCTGCCACGTCTCTAATGACTTCTGATGTCTTTAAGGCTGCACTATTACACACCGTGCGGGGGATTTTGAAATGCTGGTGCAGATCCTCCTCTAAATGGGACCAGGTTCAGCACGGCGAGCATCTGGCCCCCTTTCTTCTCCTCTCCACTGCCTTAATTACACAACACAATGGCGATGAGATCTGCCTGTAATCTCGCAGCATAATAAGTCCCCCCCCCCCACCATACCCTGCCTGCCACTAATTCAATATAAATGTAAATTACCTAGAGAAAAGAATAACCAAATCTCATTTTATTTACATGACTAATCACAATAAAGTCAGGCAGATGAAATATGAATGAAATATATGGTTGGCGTTTGAAAGGAAGGAGGGGTCTATATTGCCTTAGGGACTCTGTGAACTTGTTTTATATCATCTTTGTTGTTTCATGTTGGTTACATCAATATGCCTTTTCGCACTTGTGCTGAACTTGCTGTAATAAATGTGTGTATCTGTTTTTTTATTTTCTTGATTGTACACACACTGCCAAGGGCATCACAAGGTAATATGTTTTCCTTTCAGCTGTTTTTTTTTTTTTTTTTTTTCACCACACATCTCATGTCAGAAGGCTGAAATTCAAAGAAGCTACATAGGAGAAAAAAATACAGATTTAATGTTGGTTTGAACACCTCAGGCCATCCATCCAGACAGCGGAAAGAGAGGGTTTAGGTGTGATTCATTCCCTCCTCTGCTCTGCTTTGCCCACAGACATTGCAGCTGAAGAACCCTCTGAGGAAGACTTTCGTCGCCGCAGACAGAACACACTTCCTGGCCACAGCCTGCACCAACGCTACCTGCGGAGCTCCGCCCAGAACCCCTCAGAGGAAGAGGAGGAGCACGGCCCACAGAGCCTGGGACTAACGAGAGGTCCGCCCACACGCCACTGCAGGGCTGATTAATTACCAGTGCACTGAGCTCTCCTTTAAAGAGTAGAGTCTTAATAAGCGCAGCTAATTGTCTGCTTTTGTGTCTGATGGCTGCACAAAGGACGATGACGAAGAGTGGCGTGTTTGATTGGCAGATGTAAACACCCAGGACAGAGGTGTTCATTAGGCAGCTCTGTTCTATGCTGCAGTAACGACCAGAGGTCAGAGGTCGTCCTCTGTTTTCCCTCACGGGTTCAGGAAGTCGCACACAAAAGCTGAGCAATTATCTGCAACACACAGTCTCTGAATGTTTTATAAGAGCAGCGTCGCTAGTTAAGGAGGGAACCTTCAATTTAACCGTGCATATTTCCTGCTGGGATGCAAACAAAGGCCCTAATTCTTTTTCTGAGATAATGACACAAACTACTCAAATATGGGTCCTCAGAGTGTGTGTTTTTGACAACTGCTACCGGCTGAAACTAAGAAATGAGAAATGAAAAATCTGCACCACTTTCTAATAATTCACTTTTTGTTGAGTGTTAACAAGAAGTAACTAATGGCTTTATTAATAGTTAATCTAATGTTTACTAATGTTTTATAGATAAGTTACAAATCATTAATAAGAAGAAAGTTTTTGTTGCCAAGTTGTTGGTGTTTATCCTCCTCTTGCATCACACTTGTTTGTCATTTTTAGCTTTTAATTTCATTGTGAAGATCCCATTTGACCTTTAGTAAAATGGCTGCAGGTCTTCTGGACCACAATTAATAACTCACCATAACTTATTTAACTTATTAGCTTCAAATGTGGATATCAAATATTCCAAATGAATTATTTCATTATAGATTTCTGATGGATTACAGTATATATAGAGAGAATTTAGGTCCACCTAGAACATTTTCTTTAAATGTTTAATGAAAGACAAGAGACAGTGTGTGTGGTATACATTACCCTGAATAGAGGCAGGAGAAATACAGCCACAGTTGCCTCTAATACCACCACCACCACCACATATATATATATGCCCCACTTGCAGTTGAGCTTGTTGGTCCAGGATAGGATTATTCAACCATCAAAGAACTGACCATTAAAGGAGTTGACATCATTATCAGTTTTGATGAACAACCGAAGAAGAGCAATTTCTGCAATGAAATAAACAAACAAGACAAACAACAGTAACAGTAATCCAACTTATCAGTGACATCTGTGAAATATTTGGTGAAACTGAGAACAAAGTAATATTCTGCTAATGTGCAACGACAAACATTTATTGAAAAGTTTTATATTGGTTTTACTCAGGTGAAATTATTATTCTAAATAAGAGAAAGGGATAAATTCTTGACTTTGTTAATGGATTAATTTCATATCCGTATAGTAAATATGAACCTTAATAAAATGTTTTTTATTATATATATATATCAAAATATTTAATGATAATGTTTGTTCTTTTATTTTGTAGGTCACACAGACACCAAGAGGAAGAAACTGTGGCTAAAGGACGGCGAGTCCAAAAAGAAAAGGGCTCCTCGACACTACCCTCGTTTTGGTGGACTTGGTGCATTTTTTTAAACACCCTCAACCAAACACTTAGTAGGCACACATATATATCTGTTGGCAGAAGTGCCATCAATCATACGTGGCATTAGTTCATCGTTGCTATGTATCTGAGGCCCAACATCCCCACTGCGCCGCCATATCTCCTCTTGTCTATCAGCTGCAGTGCAAAGCATAACTCCTGCCTGCTTTCATCCGCCTGCAGGGACCTCACTTCAATGTTTTGTTTTGTCCAAGATACATTTTTAGTAGTTAAGCTTTTGCTATTACTGTATTTATTGTGGGTGGGCCCTGCGGATGTACAGTGAGCATTCAGAACCTTAATTAATCTCCTGTGATTGGACTTTTTACAGCACACATTTTTCAGAAAGTGTGTTTGATAAAGTTCAGGTGGAAGGAGAATTATATTAGCTGCCTTGTTTGTGATAAGTGTGAAAATGATTGCAGTAATAGTGTATAGCATGAGCCTATAAGTGAAGGTCAGTCTATTCAGTGGATACTATTTTCAATAGAGGCAAGGAGAGAAAGGACTAGTTTTATTACAGAAAGAGATAAACATGTACTCCTCGCTCCTCCATCATACATGAAATCAACTCTCTGCTCTTTTACTACTCCCCCAGGGTGAAAAATAGTTATTAACCCCTCTCCAAGTCATTATTTTCTTCTTTTTTTTTTTTTTTGTAGGATTCTTTGTACCAAGTGGATTCAGCAATATGTTAACCTTCTGTGGGTTTTTTTGTAAAATAATTCTTAAACTAAAATATGATTTTCCCTCATCTGATTTGTCCTTGACACGTTGTTCTCATGATAACTGCAAGTGGAAATGCAGAAATGTCAGAGAAATGTTCATTTTTTATGGACTCCTACCAATAAATGCTTAAAGAAAAACACGTTCTTGTTGGCAGTTAACTTGTATCGTATAGTATCTTTTCGTATCATGCCATATCCATATATATGAAATAACTTAATCCAGAGGGAGTTTGGTTGCCCATGCACAGTGACAAATAGCCAAATTTTGACACAAATCAGACATAGCAGACAACATAAAAACAATGTAAAGACAACTGATCAGTTAATAAAGAAAATGCTATTAGTAAGTGATGCACTTTGTATCAGCTTAGTATTCTGTCAAAAATACAACCGATATCTTATAAAACAAACTAATATCACATGTCATTCATACATTTCACAGCTGCAAATTCTTCAGTGGAGCCTCAAAGCATCCATAACTGTCACTCAGCACATTTTTTAGATTACTAAAAATAGCATAAAGACCTTAATTTAAGTTTCGAACTCTCCACCAGGTTCTTTTCTAAAGAATTAGGAGTCAGTGTAATACCCTCCCTAACACACAGTACCAGAAGTTTGTGGGGTTTGTGTCTGTGGGTTTTAAATACAAGCATACATTTTAGCTTTATCATAAATAATGGAATTGTATACGTTTCCGCCAGCCTTTTTATTTTATTTTATTTATTTATTACTTAGGGGCTGTGTAACAAACTTTAAACACAGCTCTGACATCTTATCATCATGTTAAGCTGATTTGACTAACGTGTTAGGAGACAGTTGCTTATTTACGCAACATGCATACATGCAGCAAAATGAGCTTGTAAAATGAAATGTAAGTCCAATATCCACTCTCATTTTAGCTCTGTTTTCATTTCCATCAACTCCTGAGGGAAATATCTAGCTCCTTGTCTGCTTAATGCTCCACTATATTTAACAGTTACGTGTAAAGTTGCTGATCATAAAACCAGAACAATGAGCTCAAAGACACTAAATGCTCTATAGGGTTGAGGGGAACTCTTGTGATAATTCTCTACAGATTCATCACTATGGGCAACCCCTTTCACATTACACACAGTTATTTGATCCAATGTTAATATACCCAGCTGCAGCATCAACTATACTTCTTTACTCAAGTGCAAAAAACACACAAACATTAAACACAACCAATTCTTAATCAACTCATATTTCTGCTTTTGTTTCCATTGCAAAGTCACCTGAGCTGTGGTGTCTCTTTCCTACTATATATGTCCTTTACCAACTCTCTCCTAAGCACAGTAATTGAACAGAAGCAGGGACAAAACACCCAGGATTCTCCTGTCACATGGTTAGAGCCCTGGAAGGAGCAGTATTCTCAGATTATTTTGAATGAGCCTGCAGTGTTTTGTATTATTCATGTGGCAGAACGCATGCACATGACCTAGCAACTCATTTGGCCCTTGTTCCCATGCAGCCAGTAGTCTCTAAGGGTTTAATTAAACAGTTTCGAGGCAGTGGCCCATCTCCCTCCATTGCCTTACTTTTTGCAGCCCTCCTCCTCCCAAAGTCATTACACAACTGTTTCTGACTGGTTAAAATAAAAATGTGAAAATCCTCCTATTGACTTCCACTCTGAGGACATCTACCTCCTGAGGAGTGAAGAGCAGAGCGACAGCTCACTGTCAAGCTCCCTGTCAGCCACTGTCTGCCTCCTTTCAAAAGAAAAATCGCCCACTTTCAACCGAGTGAAGCGGGGCACCTATCGACAGCATCACCACATGGAGAGAAATGATGTTAAATGTAAGTATCTGCACTCAATACAGTAGAATGAGAGTCAAAAGAAAGACCTGTCTGTTAGATAGATAGATAGATAGATAGATAGATAGATAGATAGATAGATAGATAGATAGATAGATAGATAGATAGATAGATAGATAGATAGATAGATAGATAGATAGATAGATAGATAGATAGATAGATTGAGAGGTAGTTTAGGAGAGTGTTTTCTTTTAAGGCCCTTTTACGCTTTGTGATTTTGAGCTGTCTGAGATTAAAGTTGACATTGATTTGATCTTTAGAATTCTTCAGAAATAGGACCAATTTGTCGCATAGTGTCCGCTGCTATGACTCATGTCAAATCAGAATACAACATGAAATGACGCAGAATACACTGACCGGTGTAACTAACTTAAGTGCCATTTTTGAATAAAGTTTAGGAAAAAAAACGTACAAATGAACATAAAAGAGATGACAAAACAAAAAGATGCCTGTCCCGACTCTTCTCTTTTCGGCACCAAAACCGAAAAGTGTCTCTGCTCTGATATATATATATATATATATATATTACAATGTAGTGCTTTTAGCCAGAGCCTTACTTTGCCCCCCTCCACACCCCAGTGATTTGCATACAGTTCCTTAATATACAGTTATTATATTATAAGTTATTTCCACAGTGGTCATAGATGGCTATAGCTACAAAATACTGTTTAAAAATGTTTTATCTGTGTCTAAAAAACTATCAATTCTAAAAACAGGATTTATAAAATCACTACACTATATGTAATATAACTCTATATTATAAATTGTACACAGTGAGCAATGTGCAAGAAGCAGCTATCAAACCAGTGGCCCAGAACATGATAACAAATATCAAATATGTATTATTTGTACACAAAAACTACATCAAATGCACCAAATAAACAATGTAGGCCGTTCTGAGGCAACTGTTTGATTATGGCACAAAGTTTGTCATCTGTGGTGTCACAAATTGCATCACACATGTTTTATTCATATTATGCTAAAAGCTTAGAAGTAGTTATAGTTCAGACAGATCAATGTGGATGGCCTCTTTATTGTTATTATAATAAAACTGCAGCCGTTCAAACAGGAGGTCATGACCGCAACAAATGTATAGTGCTTTTGAAATTAATAAATGCAATTGCATTTATAACTGCTCGTGATTGGATTGAATCAACATGAAACAGAACAAGCCCTGAAACACAGATGTGTTTTTTTCACCAGCAGCACCTAATTGGTTTGGTGCAGAAATTGCTCATAAATCCGTTGTATATCAAACAAGCTTTGAGAGAGAATGTGTTACTCATCTGCTCGTCAGAAAGCTTTTGTTGTGCTCAAGGACTTAAGACTTTCAGCAAATTTGACGAGGGTCAAAGAAGCTCCAAGCAAGAAGATTTTTAAAACTATTTTACAGAATGATTTGGCAACCTGACGGCATTGAAAGGAAGTAGAAAAAGGACGTACAAAGAGAAACAAAATGCCACCTGGGTGTGTTTTATTTTGGAACAGCTGTCAGACAGGGATTTAGGTGGAGCTAAATTGGAGTGAGATTTTTTCCAAGGGTGCACTCAGCAGATTAGGAGAGAGGTAACATCACAGCAAGTTTCAGTAAACTGGTGAAGGGAGCGGAGAGATTTGCACCTCCACCTTCAATAATGGCTTTCCGCACAACCGCATGAAAGTTTCTCTAAATGTCAAATGAATAACTGTGAAACATAATCTAACATCAATCTGTAGACACACGTGTGGGTGGATTTTGTTTCCTTTTGGAGTACATTTTGGCAAATAGCTTGTTCTTAACTCTCGTTCCAACTGAAACACAATAAATCTCAAAATTCTTCAGTGATTAATTCTTCAGGCATTGTTTGTGTATTTGCTTGTGCCGGTGATTATTCTATTAGACGTACTAATGCTGCTTTGTCTTGGGAATGGAGAATGGATTTGTGTACCAGTTAAGCACAACAACTACAGATCCAGTGTGGTGAAGGCCATTTTATAACTGCAGTGCACCAAATGACAGCCAGTAGGAACTCTGACTCTGTGACAGTAGTAAAGTTCTTGTGTGAGTCAGGTGGTTGTTTTCTGACAGGGATAGAAATCTGTCTGGACAGTCTGAGAGTCACTTAATCCTGGGATAGAGGGGCTCAGTGTGAGCAGGATGTATTGTATGTACTGTAGGTGGGTCAAAGCTGGGAGCCGACACAGAAAAGAGTGAGTTTTCGATGCACTCATACTCTCTGAGCAGCAGAGCCACAATATCTCTGTTTAAACAGCCATGCTCGCGGCTCTGTGAGGCTGTGCTTTGAGCTAAATGCTAACATCAGCATGCTAACATGCTCAGTGGTGGAAAGTAACATTGAGTACAACACATAATATAAGACTGAAGTCCAGTAATTAAGCACACTTTTGAGTATTTCTTTTGTATGCTACTTTATATTTCTACTTATTTCTAAGAAATACACTACATGGATTAGACAGTGATAATTACTACTGTAGTTCCTTTTTTAAGATTTGGCATAAAAAAATGTATGATGAGCTGGGGCGCTCCAGTAGTTCATCTGGTAGAGTGAGAGAGTCCTTACCATACCGACCCGGCTCTTATTCCAGCCTGTGGCCCATTGCTGCATGTCTCTCTCTCCTCCATTTCTTGTCTATCTTCAGCTATCTCTATTATATAATAAAAGCAAAAAAAGCCCCCCAAAATAATAATAATAAAAAATATGAGGAGTTTATTAATGCTCTATATTGACATCGATTAAACTACCCAATGTCATTCATGCATTAGTATTCACAATCCTATAATACAATATATCAATAAGGGGCCATTTTTTCTCAGAAAGAGTACTTTTTACTTTTGATACTTTCAGTATGTTACATACAAAGTTAGATTTTTTACTTTTACTTAAGTAAAGGATCTGAGCACTTTTTCCACCAATAAACATGCTGAGGTTTGTCAGGTGTAATGTTTACTGTGGTAACCATCTTAGTTTAGCCAGTTAGCATGCTAATGTTACACTAATGCTATTTAGTGAGGAATTTCAGTAGTTTTGCTAAATGTCAACTTCCTGGTGGTGCTAGAGGAAAAGTCAGGCATTCACTAAAGTCATCGGGATGTATCCTCAGGGGATCATGCCTGTCAAACCAACCAATTGTTGTATAGTCTGCCTAGTCTGGCTAAGAATTCTGATCAGTAAATGAAAATATTACTGATCTTTACCTTTTATACTCCTTCTTTGAGTGTCTATCTTTCGGCTTGTTTTTTTTATTTGTAGTGTCTTCTCCAGCTTGCCTTGGATGTATCTACCTTTATGTTTCCCCAGGGGCTTCA